GGCTTATGCCGTTTATCAGGCTTTACTGCAAATTAGTGTAATTAATAACTATAAATACTTTTTAATAATAACGGATTCTTTAAGTCTGATAAAGAGTCTAAGTAATGTTTCTGTAAAATATAAAACCAACTATATTTTGTATATTATAAAAGCCCTATTGTTTAAATATCATCTTAAGAATGTAAATATATATTTTATGTGGGTGCCTTCACATAAAGGCATAACCGGCAATGAAAAAGCTGACAAAGCTGCATGTGAGGCTATAAACAGTATTGACGTTACAGACTCAGTATCCGTTCCTTTTACTGATTTTTTCTAAATATTAAGGAAAACATTTACACTCTGTGGACAGAAATGTGGAAGAAAGACCAGGAAAACAAGGGAAAGTGGTATGGCCTTGGCTCGTACAGGAAGTATCCAAGATAACATACCTGTTAAACCTTGGTATGACAAATTGAAATCTAGTGAAAGTAGAGATTTCATTACAACAATAAACAGATTGAGATTTGGTCATAATATTGCGCCGTCACACCTAGCAAGACTTGGGATTGTTTCAAACAATCAATGTAATCATTGTCAAGCAGAAGAAGGAACGATCCACCACATTATTTTTGATTGCCAAAGTTTTCTCATTCAAAGACTTGTGCTGGCTAGTGAACTTAGTGTTACCAATGCATATAAGTGTGTTTCTTCCTCCCGCCCGCCGCTCCTCAACGTTTTACTAAAAGATCCAACAGCCTATAAACCTATTTATAATTACTTAAAAAATACAATTCAAACAATTTAAGTGATGAAATTTAGTGAAGTGAAGTTAGTGTCGCCAAATTATATGAACATACATATTCCAAATAAGTCATGACTTAAAGGTCTTTGTTACCAGGTCATAAAATTAAAAAAAAAAAAAATTGACTTTTTGGCGGGAAGTCGAACTAAGCGGGTGTTTTAAATTTTGCGTTTTTTCAATAATTAATTTTCTTTGTATATATTTGTATTTAAATTTTTCTGTAAATAGAAAATTTGTAACATATTGTAAATAGTAAATAATAATGAGTGAAAACAGCGCCGGGGGGGGCGGGCCCCCGGTGACAAAGACGCCAAGAAAAGAAAGTTAGAAGTGACTAATGAAAACTATAAAGTGTTCACAAAACCAAACTATAAAAGACAATTTCCAGACAACCATAGCACGGATTGTGTGGTTTTTGTGGAATCCCAAGAAAATGAAAAGTTAGGGAACAAAAATCCCATCACGTTAACTAAATTATTCACGGACAATGTTAAAGGAATAGTGGGAGTACACCGAGTGAATGCTCACAAAATAGGCATCACTTTTAAAAAACCAGCTCCGGCTAATAATTTCCTTAAAATTGACAGTTTTTTAGGGAGACACAAGCTTAAAGCTTTTGTTCCATCTCACCTAACCGAAGCGACGGGCGTCGTACGATATGTGCCCAAGGAGCTGACGAATGCGGAGATATACAAGAACATAATGTGCGACACGGAAGTGATTTCCGTTAAAAGGTTCATGAAAAAAGTTGGCGGAAAACTGGTCCCGCTCGGCACGATTTCAGTGACTTTTGCTGCCACAACGCTGCCCCAATATGCATACATACAGATGTTTAGATACCCGATCCACATGTATATTCCACCACTGCTGCAATGCTTCAGATGCTTCAAATTCAATCACTCAGCTCGAGTTTGTCGCGGAGAGCAAATGTGCTCGTCATGTTCCGGCCGGCACTCCTACAAGGAGTGTGACGTAGGTGAAATTATTTGTATTAACTGTAATGGCAATCATTTGGCAATCTCCAGGGATTGGCCCATTAAAAAGAAGAAAATGGAGGAAAAAAAGAGTAAATATCTCAATCTCAACAGAAGTTATGCCACTGTGGTGAGTACAGCTCCCATAGCCCCTCAGATGTTAGACCCTAAAGAGTTTCCGGCTATTACTAAGCCAAACAATAATACATAATGTGACTATAGGCCCGTTCAATGCACAGCAAATTCTCAATAACGACATTATCATTAACGCCATAGTAAAATCTCTTATTACTCTGGGTAATGATAAAAACGACACACCCATTACAAATAAAAAGATCAAAGAAATACTTTTAGCTAATTTATTAAACTAAATAATGGATACATTTTTAAACATAGCACAGTTTAATATACAAAGCTTACAGAGTAAGAAAGCCTTATTGAATAATTTTTTATCGAAACATAATATTGATATCTGTTTATTAAATGAAACTTGGCTTAAAAGCACTAGTATAATTCCAAACTTTGCACCATATAATTTTATACATAAAAATTCAGTTAATACCCATAATGGTGTAGGTATACTAATCAAACAAAATTTACAGTATGATATAGTTAACACCCTCCATTACATCAGAAAAATAAAGAACCTCTTCTTAAAAATAAAACAACAATAAAAGTAAACAAAGGCGCTCCATGTTACAAAAATTAATATTATGTACATAGTTATATAACCTCGTGTGTCACCACCATAATTATATTTTATATAAACAAAACCATTGCAACATAGTAGTACAAAGATCCTTTATATTTCAATAGCCGAAATGCTGTTACATGATTTACGAACCACTCTTAGTTCTTACTAAGTAACGTTTCCTTGTAGAGCGTGAGAACAATGTGTCAGCACAACGGTCACGTAGGCCTGTAAGAATAGGATATAAATATAATAGAACGCTTGTAATACACAGTATTAAACGGACCTCAAATCGGACCGGTTGTACTCATTTTAACTTTAAGTTTTAAAAACCCTTTTTCGCGGACCCACTACTTGACTGGCGCTGAGGACAGGATAGTCGCTCTAGCTGCACGTACTTCTCAATTATCGGTTCGAGCATCAAATTCTGCTTACCTAAAAAGGGGAAACTACGTCGCGATTGCTAAAAACGGCTATTCAAAAGAACAAATAAATTTGTCAAGAACAAAAATCCAAAAGCGTTAAGGGTGTTTTGTGCGAGTGTTGAGGCAGCGATGTACTGGTAAGTCACCTTTTCACCTTTCAAATCCAGCCCTCTCCACTTTTCTTTTGTTATTTTGAGATCGACATCTCTCATCTTAACGATAGTTTTAAGACTTTGTTAGAGTTAAATTCATATAAAGGTAAATTGTAATAAGTAAATTAAAGAAACATAGAAGTAAGTAGGTTAGTGCATGAAATTCTGCAACCCCTAAAGTAAGTATAAGTTTAGATTCACATCAAATTCTGTGAGCTATAATTATTGAGTAATTGTGTAATTATTTAATCAAACAATTCCTGAAAGAATACATAAAACCCAAAAAGAAATATTTTATATATTTCGGAAATACGGAACATCGCAAACAATTCAGCAACATGGTAATTAGGCTTTTTAAAGGTGTATCAATTCAATTTTATGAGTGTACGGAAAGAATCGTTTTTATTGACGATGAAAATGAACAGAACGCCGTTATTCTGAAATTTCATCTCGGAAAAACCTGTCACAGAGGTATTCAAGAAACTTTTACTCGCATCAGGCGACACTTCTTTTGGAATAATATGAAAGAAACTGTATCAGCAGTAATTAATTCTTGTGAAGCCTGTAAACATATGAAATATGACCGAAAGCCTTTGAAACCATATTTACAGTTAACTCAAAAGCAACATGCCCCATTCCAGGAATTATTTATAGATATATTTAGTATCGAAGGAAAAACATACCTCACCTTAGTTTACGCTTTTAGCAAACTAAGACAGGCAATTGAAATTACTATCAAAGGCACACTTGACGTTATCCGCGCACTAATAAAATACTTTTCATTTTACGGCATACCTAAGAAAATAAGCTGCGACTCTGGTACTGAATTCAACAACGATCTATTGAAAGAAATGATGTCACTCTATAAAATCCAAAAACATATCGACACACCTAGGAACCCTAATTCAATGGGAATAGTTAAACGTTTTCATTCCACCTTAATTGAAATTTACAGACTGACAAAATACGAACAACAATGTACCGACGCCGCATCTATTATATCACTCATCATGGCATATAATAATGCGATTCATACTGTAACAACTTTAACACCGTTTGAAGTAGTTTTTGGCCATGTAGATTCTGAAAACGCATTCAATATAGACTTCGAGAAACGATACTTGCAAAAATTAATTAAAGATCACGCCAAAAGAATAAAAGTTTTATACAAAATCATATCTGATAAAATATTAACGTTTAAGGAAAACTCTAGAGAAAAACGCGGTGGCGAATCCGACGTCCCGTTACCAGGGAAAACAATTTTCACAAAATTAATAAACACTCGTAGAAGTAAGTACAAACCTTGTTTTGAAAAGGCCATAGTTACAGGAAAACCTGAAAGAAACACCATCCCTATTAACATTAGAGGTAAACACAAAAAGGTACCAATTAAAAACATAAAACGACCTCCAAAGGTGGTGCTTAGTGATCACGATGACACTCACGAGCCCCAGCTTGGGCCTTCAACTTCAAAAGGTTGAAAACAATTCAGGGATCCGTAAGACAGGGAACATCCTTCATCAAACAGGATAACTGGCTTATTTTTAAGGTATTAGATTTGAATGGCCTACTAATGGAATTAGAATATAACAATAGGAAATATAGTAATTTTAGTAAGATAGTAAGTGATGATAAGCCTTAGTTTAAAGAATTTTTAGGAATTAGGGAACAAGTAGAGTATTTGCAAAGAATAACTACTGAAAAGATTAGGCAAATAATCCCTTCACACCGAGTACGAAGAGGAATATTGAACCCTCTAGGCTCTATTATTAAAATGATAACTGGAAACTTAGATCAGGAAGATGCTCAACGATATGAACAGTTAATAAATCAATTAGGTAATCAACAAAATTTCCACAAACAAGCGTTTAACAGTTGTTTTCAAAATGTTAGATGGACTCATTAATTCATCAGAAATATTACACAATAACTCAAAAATTATGGACGAAAGACTAAAACGTGTAAAAAAAAAAAATGTTAAAAGACATAAGTACTAAAGAAAATAATGCAGTATACTCTACATATGTTTTAAGTTTATATAATCTTTTTGTTAGTAATTTTAGAACGCTTTATATAAAAAATAAGCGAATTAGAAATTGCTTTGGCTTTCACCAAAACCAATGTTTTACACATTTATTACAGATTTTAATTTATATATCACAGTCAGAAAATCTTATGTATCCACCCACTTGGGATAATTTAGTTAAATTAGAAGATACGATTAATGTTAAATCATACATGATAGACAGGAAAATAACTTTTGTATTAGAGGTAGCTTTAATAACCAATTCAACTTATAGTAATAAAATGTATCCCTTACCTATCTTTCATGACCCTAAAAACCTAACCCTAATATCCCTATATCCTGGTGAAAGGTGTAACATACTTACCGCTTATACAGCCTTGCAAACAAGTCTCTGAGGAAAATTATCTCTGCACACAAGAAAACAGGGGCACCGTATCCTGAAACGACATGCATTGAGGAGCTGATGACCTTCAAGGAAAACCCATCCAACTGTGACCAGAATACAGTAATTATAGAAGAGGTAAAGGTACAATAATAGTAATCAAATCATTATTCAAATAATTGCAAAAATGAGATAAGCCGAAACTCTATAAAGGGAACATAATATATCATTACTATAGATTAACCCTGCGATCTCAACATCAATGACATCCAATTACATCATCAGCGTTCATATACAGAAAATATGTCATCAGAACGTATCCCATCCATTAAGCTGCTGGAGTTACAGTCAACAGTGAACTCTAAGGAAAATCAGAATCCAGTAAACTTACAAGGAATGGAGCTCAGTGACCGGTAACACATGTCTTACATGCTGTAACAACTTAACAGAGATAGTGATAGTGAAATGGGCAATTCAGTGAAAGTGAAAAGCATTAGTTTAGGCACTCTTTTATTGTATTTTGCTAATTGTTGTGTTTTTTATAAAAAATAAGATTAGTAATATGTTGCAGTGGCGAAATAATCAGAATTTGCATGTGCAATCCCCTGATAATTTCGCTCTTAAGGAGGGAGGAGTTATATAACCTCGTGTGTCACCACCATAATTATATTTTATATAAACAAAACCATTGCAACATAGTAGTACAAAGATCCTTTATATTTCAATAGCCGAAATGCTGTTACATGATTTACGAACCACTCTTAGTTCTTACTAAGTAACGTTTCCTTGTAGAGCGTGAGAACAATGTGTCAGCACAACGGTCACGTAGGCCTGTAAGAATAGGATATAAATATAATAGAACGCTTGTAATACACAGTATTAAACGGACCTCAAATCGGACCGGTTGTACTCATTTTAACTTTAAGTTTTAAAAACCCTTTTTCGCGGACCCACTACTTGACTACATTCAACGTTAGATCCCTATCATCCAAAACAAGACAATTAGAACTCAACTATGCACTAAGAAAAATCTATTGGGATGTTATAGGGTTAGCCGAAATAAAAAGGATGGGTTGTAGTATTGAAGAATATGAAGATTACATCTTCTGCTACATTGGGGAAACGTTAGGACTTCATGGAGTAGGATTTTTGATAAAAAAGTATTTCAAAAATAATATTGTAAACTTTACGGGGATTTCAGAAAGAGTGGCATTCATAAAATTAAAATTTAAAAACTTGTCAATAACACTTATTCAAGTGTATGCTCCCACAGAAAGTGCAGCCGAAGAAGAAATCCATAAGTTTTACGAGGATCTTAGGTGAGCTCATGAGTCAGCTGACAAAAACGTAGTCGTAATGGGAGACTTTAATGCCAAAATAGGGATGCCGGGTCCTTACGAAAGAGAAATAATGGGCAAATATGGTTATGGTACAAGAAATCTAAGGGGTGAACGCCTTATACAATATGCCAATGAGTATAAGCTATCAGTGATGAAGACATTCTTCAAGAAAAAACAATCACGCAAATGGACATGGATATCTCCTGACCAAAGAACAAAAAACGAAATTGATTTCATACTGAGCAATAATCCAAAATCTATAACCAATATGGAAATATTTGGAATTGTTAACTTCCCATCACACCACAGAATGCTGAGATGTTGCCTGACCATAACATCCCCAAGATGAGTCGAAGATATTTTCAAAAACAGTAAGCTTACTTAAGACTAGTGCAGAAATAACAGAATATATCCGAAACCTTGAGGAGAATTCGAAAGCATTACATGATAGTTTGGAGAACAAAATAAACATACAAAAACTTAACGATAAGAAATCATTTCAACAAGTCTTAAATTAGAAAATAAAACAAACAACAAAAACAAACAAAAAATACTTAAAAAAGAAACATTAGAACTAATTTCAAAGCGCCGAGAACTAACTTCTATAAAAAATAAAACTGTAGTTACAAAAGCTCAAATAAAAAACATCTGGAAACAAACCTACAAAGCAATCAGAGAAGACTACGCCACGTACAGAAAAACAATAATCGAGGAAAACCTAGCAACGTCCAGAAGCGCAAAGCGAGCATACAAAGAATTAAATACACACAAAACATGGATTCAGAGCCTAAGAAACAGTCAGAAGAAAGCAATAAATAGGGAAGACATCCTAGAGCTTGCAACCAACTTTTACCAAGAACTTTATAAAAAACAACCAGAAATCACAAAAATTTAAGAAGACAACGTATATCTGAGAACGACTCATCAGGAGCATATAGATATGGATACAACGATCATGCCTATAAGTAAAGTCGAAATATTGCATCACATAAAAACCCTTAAGTCAGGAAAAAGCCCGGGGCCAGATAACATAACCAACGAGGCCCTGAAGTTTGGAGCACCTATCCTAGTTACATATCTGACAATACTTTTTAACATGGTAATAGAACGAGGGGAAGTTCCAAAACAATGGCGCCAATCAAATATAGTATTACTGTACAAAAAAGGCAACCCATTAGACATTGTGAACTACAGGCCAATCAGCTTGGTATCCGTAATATATAAATTGTTTTCATCAATAATACTAAGCAGAATATCAACAAAAATTGACAATAACCAACCAGTAGAGCAAGCAGGCTTCCGCCCAGGATATTCTACTATCGACCACATCCACACTATCGAACAAATCATCGAAAAATACAATGAATTTAACAAACCACTCTACATAGCATTTGTAGACTATTCGAAAGCGTTCGACAGTATAACGCATACATCCATATGAAAAGCGCTTAATAATAATAAAGTAAATGAAAAATATATAAATATATTACAGAACATATACAGCAATAGTGTTGGTAGAATAAAGCTAGAAAACAAAGGCCGAGACATTCGAATTGAAAGAGGTGTAAGACAGGGTGACCCACTTTCCCCAAAATTATTTATAGCAGTCCTCGAAGATGAATTCAAAGGTATAGAATGGAATAATAACGGCCTTTGGATACGAAACAAACATCTTACTCACCTTAGATTCGCAGACGACATAGCCGTCTTCAGTGACACCGCTACAAAATTAGATAAAATGCTTCAAACATTAGACAGGGAAAGTCAAAAAGTCGGGCTTTACGTGAATACCACAAAAACAAGAATCTTATCCAACAGTGTGTGCCAGCCAATCAGGGTGAGATCTATAGTGCGCACTTAGACTTTGCTCTGACTTAACTATCGAGCTAAGACACAGTCGGTATTTATAGAGCAAACTACGAATCTCTCCCTAGTGTTGGCTTAGCTTAATCTCAAGTCCACGAAATCGACGACTTACCAAAAACTTTGACTATAAGCCTAACAAAAATAATGGCCCAAAATTTGCTTTACCATCATATCTTTTACTGGACTTTTTATTTTTGTCGGTTTTTAATGAACGGTGTTGCCATTTTGTATCGGAGTTCCATAGACTTTGGGAAAAATAGAATTTGAATTCAAAGAAATTATAAATGATCTTGATAAATACCTATGAAATGCATGAAATAAAATAATTACACATTATTATGGTATTTATTGTTGTTTATTTATATTATTTATGTAATTGTTCAAACCCCATTTTTGAGAAATCTTAAAAATAACTGGTGTGATTTTGTATGTCACCTGGCAGCCCTGGCAATTGGCATATTATAGTGACAACGAAATTCAAACTATAACCTAACCAAAACATTGCGATCCGTTCTACGTAATAAAATTATTGTCATCTTTAAATAATTAATACATTTTCTAAAGGTTACTCGTGAATTTCTAGTTATTGCAATAATAAAATAAATGAATACATAAATAACAATAAATTGAAGATATATGTGTACCGTTTTAGATTTTTAAATATTTGTTATTGTTAACTTTTTTAAAGGATAATAAACAAAGTATTGCATGAAATGAAACATCAATTTGTATTTTGACATTTTCTGTCTTAGCTTGGGCTTAGCTTAATCTCACCGTTAAAATGTCTATAAATACGAAATCATAGTTTAACCTTAGTGTACACTAAGCAAAGTTTTTCGTAAGGTAAGTCTGAGCAAAGTCCAAGTGCGCACTATAGATCTCACCCTCAGAGTCGACAGTAAACCTATAGAATATGTTAACAACTATGTATATTTAGGAAAACAAGTATCTTTCGATATGAACAGCAGTGAAAACGAAGTAGATAGAAGAATAAACGTGACTTGGAAGAAATACTGGACCCACAAGGAAATTCTGAAAGGAAACTACAGTCAACTACAGTACAACACAAGAAGATAATGATGGATTCAAATATTTTACCTTGTCTTACATACGCAAGTCAAACGTGGGTTTTCAGCAAGAAAACAACTAGAAAAATCCTGTCTTGCCAGCATGCAATGGAAAGAAGCATCCTAAAGTTGAGGAGAATAAACAAAATAAAAAATGTTGAAATCCGTAAAAAAACCAAAATTACAGATGCACTTGAACAAGCTCTAAGGCTTAAATGGAAATGGGCAGGTCATATTGCTAGAGCGCGGGATAAAAGATGGACACTAGAAATAACGAAATGGACTGGATCTACTGGAAAGAGATGTATAGGACGACAAAGGAAAAGATGGACAGATGACATTGTAGAACTTGCGGGGGGAAAACTGGATGAATGTTGCTCAAAACAAAGAGAAATGGAAAAATATGGAGGAGGCTTTTACCCTAAAAGGGGCCATACAAAAACTAGACATAAAAAATTAAAAATAAATCTAACTTAAATTTTGTTTAAAACTTACTAACTTAACTAATACTAATATTAAGGAATATAAACTAACCAATTGTTGTATGGATAAAATAAAGCTTAATAATAATAGTTAACACTACTTTTCATGAATCCGTTCAAAATATCTGTGTAGCTGTAGAAACATCTATGGGCAAATTGCACATTCTTTGTGTATATTGCCCTCACAATAGTGATGTTAACAGGTTTAATATTCGCACAATGAAAAAGGTTTTACTTGAAGTACCTAAGCCATGTATAATAATGGGAGATCTAAATGCACACCATATAGTTTTTGGATGTCAATCAAATAATAGTAGAGGCAATAGTTTATACAATCTCATTGATGAACTAGACTTGTGTATTTTGAATGATGGGAGTGCTACAACTGTTCAAATTCCAAACAGAAATGCATCTGCTATTGATGTTACTTTGGTTAACCCAGCAATAGCTCCTCTTTGTGAATGGCGAATTCATGATGATTCAATGGGCAGCTACCACTATCCAACTCAGGTTGTTGTCAATGTAAAACCATCCACATATGAAGTCCTGCCTGTGGAAGAAAAATACATATATTGTAAGGCTGATTGGACTGAATATTATAATTTTCTGAAACATCTTTTTGTCAGTTAGACACTGAAAATACAGAACCAATTGCTTTATACAATAATTTTATAAATATTTGTGTGACATCAGATCAATTACTATACCTAAACAAAAGTCTAGACAAACTGTGAAAGTCATGAGGAAACCTGTTCCCTGGTGGAACCAAACATGTGATGATGCAGTTCGAAAGTCCAAAAAAGCCCTGATACAGTATAGAGCTTCACCTAGCATTTCTAATTTTATAGAGTACAAAAAAACAGATGCTCAAAAGAAAAGAATACTTAAAGAAGAGAGTATTAATTCGTGGCACAACTTATGTAGTAGTTTCAATAGAATGACACCTGTTTCTAGAATATGGGGTTACATGAAAAGGTTCAAGAGAATAGGTTCATGTCATGATAGATTTTTCAATGATGAATGGGTGCCTTCATTCATAGATAACATCTCTGATTCAAATCAAATAAATTTAAACAATGTAAGTGGTATTTTAAATGATTCATCTGAAAATAACAGTAATTCCTTTCTGAATAAACCATTTACATTAAATGAATTGTACATATCCCTCAAAAGCAGAAAAGATACAACACCAGGTTTGGATAATACACCATATATTTTAATCAAAAAACTACATCCTAATGCTATAGAAATCTTATTAAATATTTATAATAGACTACTAGAAAACTTGTTAATACCAGATTCATGGAAAACTCAGTGCATCATTCCCATCTTAAAGCCAAATAAAACTGCAAATAATCCATCATCATACAGACACATTTCATTATCATCGTGTTTAGGTAAACTCTTTGAGAACATGCTAAAGATGAGATTAGATTATTTTGCTGAATCGGAAGGAAAGTTACCAGATATTCAGTTTGGATTCAGGAAAGGTAGAAGTTGCTCTGAAAGCTTTGTATCTTTCATTGCTGATCTCAAAAAAGCTAAGATTAGTCACTCTAATGTTGTTTGTGTCTTCTTAGATGTTAAGGGTGCATTTGATAATGTTGATACATACTTTTAATAGTACGGGAGGTAGCAACGTTTGAAAAGAAAGAATTTTAGGTCAGCTGATTTTGTGATATGTCTTCCTTCTTGCACTTTCGGTTAGAGTCTGGGCAATCTGGCTGGCGGTAGCGGTTGCGTTCATTAGTGCGCATCCTATCTGCCCAGGTAATAATCCTGGATTTTAAGAAGCGTAATTTTTAATTTTTCGTTTTTAAATAAGTCTACCTGACATACTTTTTTTATTGCCAGACATTTTTCACATTGCTAACTAAGTGCCAGACGCGAAGTTTTTTTTTATAAAAATTTCAAAGTATTTTAGAACGTCTGTAATTTTAATATGATGTTATTTAAATATAAGAAAAACTAAAAATGAATTTGCCAGACATTAATTCCATTGTTAAGTCTTGAATTAAAATGAAAAAGTATTGCAGTATGATGAAGCATTGCATTTTAAGAAGCGTAATTTTTGATTTTTCCTTTTTAAATAAGTCTACCTGACATACTTTTTTTATTGCCAGACATTTTTCACATTGCTAACTAAGTGCCAGACGCGAAGTTTTTTTTTATAAAAATTTCAAAGTATTTTAGAACGTCTGTAATTTTAATATGATGTTATTTAAATATAAGAAAAACTAAAAATGAATTTGCCAGACATTAATTCGATTGTTAAGACTTGAATTAAAATGAAAAAGTATTGCAGTATGATGAAGCATTGCATTATAAGAAGCGTAATTTTTGATTTTTCCTTTTTAAATAAGTCTACCTGACATACTTTTTTTATTGCCAGACATTTTTCACATTGCTAACTATGTGCCAGACGCGTTTTTAGGTTTTTTTTTTATAAAATTTCAAAGTATTTTAGAATGTACATTATTTTAATATTATGTTATTTAAATATAAGAAAAACTAAAAATGAATTTGCCAGACATTAATTCGATTGTTAAGCCTTGAATTAAAATGAAAAAGTCATGAAAAGTATTGCAGTATGATGAAGCATTGCATTTTAAGAAGCGTAATTTTAGATTTTTCCTTTTTAAATAAATCTACCTGACATACTTTTTTTATTGCCAGACATTTTTCACATTGCTAACTATGTGCCTGTAATTAAAACTATTGAAGAATAATTATCGTGTGAAGAACACGAAGAAGCTGATTCTAGGATTATTTTTCATATTTACCAAATTGATTTTGCCGCAGAAGTTGTTATACGCTGTTCTGATTCTGAACAAAACAAAAATTAAAAATAACGCTTCTTAAAATGCAATGTTTCATCATACTGCAATACTTTTTCATTTTAATTCAAGACTTAACAATCGAATTAATGTCTGGCAAATTCATTTTTAGTTTTTCTTATCTATATATATAAAACAAAGTCGTGTTTGTTACAACACTTATAACTCGAGAACGGCTGGACCGATGTTAATTATCTCTTTTTAGGTGGATTCTTCTCAGCTCCGAATAGCAGAATAAGTAATAAAATATCGGATAAGTTATCGAATAACAATAAATAAGTAAATTAATTTTACGCATGCAAACAGCATGTGGTGCCATCCGTTGACAAAACTACGCATCATTTTACGTCGAATTCGTGTCAGTTCAAGAAATTCCAATCTTGATGAATGAGGAGATGCATAACATGGCTTTGATCTTGAGTTGGGTTTTAAATGTCGTCGCACGAATTTGATGATACTGATTATGCAGGAGTCTCGGGGGACATCCACGTGATTTTTGCTGCTGGAAACGGGTCTAAGTATTTAAAAAAAAAATGTGTTATATATTGAAATTTGTAAACAATCCGCCATTTTCTACTTTTTTATTGGTTATAACGATTGTTAATCTCATCAAAAAATTTTGTATATCAGAAAGTAATTTAACATGCAGAATCGCAATTTTGGCGCTAGAGAGAAGAGGCCCAATGTGTAAAACTGCCAATCTTCTTTCGCAATGGCAAGAACTAAAACATTTATGTATTTGCAAAAAAATTTGTATTGATGTTATTACATTAATGAAATCCTAAAATAAATTTAACTAAAGTAACAACGATATTATTAAACTGAAAGGCGGAACGAAGTTAGCCGGGTCAGCTAGTATTTAAATAAAATAATATTAAAATTACAGACATTCTAAAATACTTTGAAATTTTTATAAAAAAAAACTTAAAATCGCGTCTGGCACATAGTTAGCAATGTGAAAATTGTCTGGCAATAAAAAAAGTGTCAGGTAGACTTATTTAAAAAGGAAAAATCAAAAATTACGCTCCTTAAAATGCAATGCTTCATCATACTACATATTGAATTGCTCCAGTTCAAACAATTTGTATGACAATACTTGGCGATTAAAAAGAGTGGCGGAAAGTTTCTTGCCAGTTCTTCTTACCCGCTCTACGCCCTTGACTTGCGAACTGGTAGTAAATGTAAATTTACGATTAATTTAACTTGACGATTCAAAAGTGTACTTGGTTACCTACTTGAATAAAGATATTTTGAGTTTGAGTTTGAGTTTACTGCAATACTTTTTCATTTTAATTCAAGACTTAACAATCGAATTAATGTCTGGCAAATTCATTTTTAGTTTTTCTTATATTTAAATAACATAATATTAAAATTACAGACATTCTAAAATACTTTGAAATTTTTAATAAAAAAATAACTTAAAATCGCGTCTGGCACATCGTTAGCAATGTGAAAAATGTCTGGCAATAAAAAAAGTATGTCAGGTAGACTTATTTAAAAACGAAAAATTTGAAATTACGCTTCTTAAAATGCAATGCTTCATCATACTGCAATTCTTTTTCATTTTAATTCAAGACTTAACAATCGAATTAATGTCTGGCAAATTCATTTTTAGTTTTTCTTATATTTAAATAACATAATATTAAAATTACAGACATTCTAAAATACTTTGAAATTTTTATTAAAAAAAAACTTAATATCGCGTCTGGCACATAGTTAGCAATGTGAAAAATGTCTGGCAATAAAAAAAGTATGTCAGGTAGACTTATTTAAAAACGAAAAAATTAAAAATTACGCTTCTTAAAATGCAATGCTTCATCATACTGCAAACCTTTTTTATTTTAATTCAAGACTTAACAATCGAATTAATGTCTGGCAAATTCATTTTTAGTTTTTCTTATATTTAAATAACATAATATTAAAATTACAGACATTCTAAAATACTTTGAAATTTTTATAAAAAAAAACTTAAAATCGCGTCTGGCACATAGTTAGCAATGTGAAAAATGTCTGGCAATAAAAAAAGTATGTCAGGTAGACTTATTTAAAAAGGAAAAATCAAAAATTACGCTTCTTAAAATGCAATGCTTCATCATACTGCAATACTTTTTCATTTTAATTCAAGACTTAACAATCGAATTAATGTCTGGCAAATTCATTTTTAGTTTTTCTTATATTTAAATAACATCATATTAAAATTACAGACGTTCTAAAATACTTTGAAATTTTTATAAAAAAAAAACTTGAAATCGCGTCTGGCACATAGTTAGCAATGTGAAAAATGTCTGGCAATAAAAAAAGTATGTCAGGTAGACTTATTTAAAAACGAAAAATTAAAAATTACGCTTCTTAAAATGCTTTTAAAATCCAGGATTATTACCTGGACAGATAGGATGCGCACTAATGAACGCAACCGCTACCGCCAGCCAGATTGCCCAGCCTCTAACCGAAAGTGCAAGAAGGAAGACATATCACAAAATCAGCTGACCTGAAATTCTTTCTCGAAAACGTTGCTACCTCCCGTACTATAAGGACCGTAATTCTATGATTCCGACTGAAGGACTCTGTATCCATGGTTATGAAATAAATTATAAAAAAAAAAGTGCCACTAATGTATAGTTGAAACGTCAAAACTCAAATGTCAGATATGTGTCTGACTAATGTCACATTATAGAAGTCTAGTGTCTACATCATACTTCATAGTCATATTGTAGTCTATGTGATGGTACTTGGTAGTGACTAGTGAGTAGTCTAATAAATATTATTCATTATCTTGTTAGCCCATAACTAGTGAACTCGCGCGGCTCTCTCTTAAAATGATATTTTTTTAACTATTCGACTGATAGTATGAAAAACCGTGTTTGTAGTTTCTTAAAAAAACTTGTAGTTGTTATACCTACTTTGTTGTTTTTAGTTTTCTTATTAAAGTGCACAACTCGTTATCATTTTCGTGTTTTGAGTTTGCGGGGCGTCGGGCGGGCAAGCAGCAATGTTGTCAGAGTATAGGTGAAAGTGATATTAAAGGCCTAGTTTGAGTACATTACACAAGGATGGGTGTGGGTCTGCAGCCTCTAGAGTTTACCGAGTGCTTGGCGGATAGCCCGCACTTCCGCGAGAACCTGCAGCGCCACGAGAAGGAACTTGAGCGCACCAGCCACCAAATCAAACGACTAATTAAAGAGGTCAAGGATGTCGTGCAAGCCGCCAAACGTAAGTTCCACCCTAAACACTTTTCCTAATTTCTGTCTCTCTACAATAGAAATCGTCACTATCTCAGTTCTACAACAAAAAATATGTAAAGTATTACAACAGAATGTTATGTTTTTGCTTAAAGTAAATGTTTTAACAAAGTGATGGCTGTTATTGATAAAATAGCTCTGATAAAGGACTGATAAATATTGAAAAAGTGTCTTTATGCAATATGTTACTATGATGTTAAGTTGTTAATATGATGATTTTATGTTTACTTTCTTTTCATATTGTTTTTGTTCACATCATATATTAATAAAAAGGAACAAGACTTGAACAATTGAATTTGTGTCAATGACAGTGTCAATTAACAAAGATGTGATAAGTTGCAGTATGACACATTCATTACCTTATTTAAATAGTTACAACATAATTATATGTAGTAACAATAAGTTTATACGTAGGATTTACAATATTATGGTGAAGAATAACAAAATTATTATAAGCCACGCCAATATACTTAATATTGTTGTACATTAAATATCTTTGTTTTGTTATCATAGCTTTATTATTCAATTTAAATTTTCATAAATTAAAACCACATTTTTACGAGTGGTTAGAAATAAGACAGATATGTGGGTAACACTGAAAATGTTTAGAACGGGCCAGTTGAAACATTGCTAATGAAAACTTTTTTTAATTTCAATTTTAGAACTCTTTGGTAACCCAATGTAGTATATTGCATTCATTTGTGATTTGTTTTTGTGAATTGGCGGCAAATCTAAAACTCTTGTTACCCGTGAAAATTAACCTAACGCGAGAAACTTTTCGGTCAATGATTTATTATGACTTTCGTTGTGGGCTTACTCAACAACCAAGCTATGATAGGCTGCGATTAGCATTTTTTAATGAAGCCCCACCTCGTGCCACTATTTACAATTGGTTTAACGAGTTTAAGCGTGGACGTAGCAATCTCAATGATATTCCGCGTGAGGGACGTCCTTTAACAGCGACTACAGAAGATAATATCAGTGCTGTGCGACACTTGATAGAGGAAGATAAGAGAGTGACCAGATACGGGCAAGCCTAGGCATTGGTGTGAGTCAAGTTGAAAAAATATTACACGAACATTTAGTGCTTTGCCACACTAGACGGAAATTCCGTCGCCGAACTTCCGCGGCGGTCAATCCGTTCTATACGGTACTAGCCACACTGAATATTCAGTGACAGATCATCAGTCGGTTGCCTGCGCTTATACGGTGTGGTCGTAAATTCGTGATGGATCTGATAGAAGTGATAGCTATTTACGAGGCATTAGAACAAGAAAGAAGAAAAAAGCGTAAATATTGGGTTCATCCCTTAAATACTCTTCGACTAGAAATTGGGCAATTGGGGGGCTAGCGGAATGAAGAGCGTCGATTGGCTCTCCAGTCGCATTCCATCCCCCGCACCGATACGACACATGCGCAGCAATCCCCTCCACGTATCGGCCAGCGCTAGACTTACGTGCCGCTGCCTATACCAAGCAAAATACAAAACTTAGAACAGCTATACCTCCCGAAGAAAGGCTGACCGTTACATTAAGGTAAGATAAATATTAAGTAAGTATATAAAATGAAACAAATTATTGATTAATTACTTAAGTATATTAACTTTTTATTGAATAAACTTATCATTTTTAATTTTTTATTGAATTAAATTGCTGCAACATTTCCTCTGTTATCTCAATTAAGTGGACCTATTCTGAAATATTTCGTCTATTTCCTCAATTGAGTGTGCTGTTTCAGTTTCAGCTGATTGGATTGGACGTACTTGAGTTTCAATAGATTCTGCTGTCTGTATGGTCGAATAGGAGCTTGCACTGTTTGAATTCGTAGTATATCCTTGGTACATCGGCGGTGACACATCTCCTGTAGGTATGCTATATGTTGTAGGTGATTGTTCGTATGTACTATAGCCAGGATGGTTGTAAGAATACGTTTGACTATGTGACATGTTAAATGAGTTACGATATTTGATTTTGTAAATCAAATTCATCACTTCGATTCTGAACTCACAATTTTGTCTTTCATTTAGGCTCTTAATTTGAGGAAGTAAAGAAAGTAAAAATTTCGTGTCGGCATCTTCTTCGGCTGCTTTAGGTGACTGTTGCTTTTTGTTCATTGCTGTAATTAAACTCTGTTGAAAGGCTGTCATTTTAGGTTTTTTTTTCCTTTGAGAGGTCCTTGAAACTTCTTCAGTTTGAGGTGGAATAAAATTCTCAGTTACAGTTTCTTGTGCGTTTGCATTTCTTGGTTGAGTGTTTGTATTAGTTGATATTTCATCACAAGAATTTTCATTTTGGTCATTATCGCCTGCCGGAGCGCTTATGTTCCCCGATGAGACCCGAGACTCTTTCACCACATCCAAGAATCGCAGCAATTCAATGTACGAGTTTTTACGTTTCTTAGGTGCAGCACTTCCACTTCTTGTATTATCTTGTTTTTTTTTTTTTACGTAATAATCTCTTAAGTGCTTCCATTTCTTTTGAAGTTTATCCACTGTAGAATTAAATAGTATAAGTATCAACAAAATGTCGAAATAACTTAGTTTAGAGTGATATAGCTGCGATAGTGGCGCCCCCAATAGAAAATAATTAATTATAAGTACAATAAAATTACTATAATTTATCTATACCACATATATACCACATATGGAAAATCCGCTTCGTTGACCATCTCAAGACTACATTTAACTATGTTTTCACATAGTGTATTGGCGATGCGAACTCTTTCTTAACTTCGAATTTTGAAGGCAAACGTGCCACTTTTCTGTTTATACGCCGAAGGTGAGGGTTGGCATCAACTCACATCACTAGTAAATTATGTGAATCGATGCAAAACATTGTTAAATGTAATCTTGAGGGATTTACCGAAGCAAATTTTTCATAAGTTCGTTTAAAAATGTTTAATTAATTATTTTAGATTGGGGGAGCCCCTGGCGGGAAAACGTGATGATGCTGAACGTTTTTTTGTGGTTTCAGGTATTTGTCTACCGGAATGAATTTTAAAAGTGTATCTCACGATTTTTTGATGGGACGATCGACTGTTGCAGAAATAATAAATAAAACTTGTGAAGTAATTTGGAAAGTACTGCAACCACTTGAAATGCCCGAGCCAAATAAGGAATCGTTTTTAAAAGTGGCAGAAGAATTTTATAAATACCCAAATTTTCCTAACTGTTTAGGAGCTGTGGATGGTAAACATATAAGAATAATTAATCCTGACAACAGCGGATCTAACTATTTTAACTATAAAAAGTTTTTTTCAATTGTTCTTATGGCAGCTGCAGATTCTAATTATTGCTTCATTTCTATCGATGTTGGATCTTTTGGAAAAGAAGCTGATAGTAATGTATTTAGAAGTTCAAATTTCGGACAGAAACTTTACCATGACATGTTAGACCTACCCGAGGATAAAATACTCCCCGGTACTATCGGCCCAGCACTACCATTTGTACTGGTAGCTGACGAGGTTCGCTTTACATAAACATGTTATGCGGCCCTACCCCAATAAAACATTAGACATAGAAAAACGTACGTTTAACTACCGCCTATCTCGTGCAAGGCGTTATGTGGAATGTACTTTCGGCATATTGAGCAACAAGTGGAGAGTTCTTCATTCGGCCATACTAGTTAACCCGGATTTTGCTACAGATATAGTAAAAACAACATGTGTCCTTCATAACTTTGTACGGAGACGAGTCTTCTCTACACATCGAATGCGATGTGTAGAGAAGAACGGAGATTACTTAGAAAAATAATAAAAGTATTGGCAACTTTCTACATTAAGCCGTTTTTCATTTTCTAAACATTTTCAATGATACCTAGGTATTATCTAAAATATAGTGTTAAAAAAATGCTAGTACAATTGATTATTATTAATTACTTAAGATGCCATGTGGAACATGGTGTAATGGTTGCAGCTCCTTACAAACGTTGTGTAAAAAAAAACATGACGATTAAAAAGAGTGGCGGAGAGTTTATTGCTTGTTCTTCTCTTCCGTTCTACGCCCTTGATTTGAGAACTGGCAGTAAATGTAAAATTAGAAGCATTAATATGTATTTCTTTAATGACGAATCACAAGTGTACATTGTGTTACCTACGTGAATAAATGGTTTTTGTTTTTTTTTTGACTTGTAGTTAAAATGATATAACGCATCCAGATAGTCAAAATAGTTTAAAGCAATGTTTAATTATTGTAAGTAAATGGGTGTTGATATATGATATGATATCACCATCAGATGATAAGATATCAACAAATGTGTGATGTAAAGCACTGGAATTTGGTATATTTTTGAAATAAATGATATTTCACTAATGTGCATAATGCTCGCTTCATGTAGGTCTGGGTGCGGCGCAGCTGGCTTTAGCAACCAGTATGGAGCAATTCGAGTTCGCATGTATCGGGGCCTCCATGACGGAGGACGAGCGCGTCATCAGCCATTCACTGCAGCACTTCGCGCACCTCATTCGCACCATCGAGGATGAACGGGATCGCATGGTGAGCTCATCTACGTTCCTTTTCACCAGAATCAAAGCTAGGAAAGTTGTGCGAATTAAACACTATTCTCTCAAAGTTTTTTACAAAATGAATAGTAGTAAAAGTAACGAGGTAAGCGGTCAGTTAATGATCGCGTATCGATAGTGCAAGTGAGGCCTTGCGGGCCGCGACCTTCCGACGACGCCGGCTTCGAACGGCGCTCGCATATTGATGACTACGTCACGTCCTATCTTGTCATAGGTTATGCGTCGAAAGTAGGCCGCGCGTTCCCGAATAAGCGGAAAAAACTAAGTATGATATAATATGCACATATGTGAGATTTAAAAGACCTGTATTCAATTTATATGTTCCTTAAGGTCGCGACAAATTAAAACGATTGTTCCCGAGTAACCTCGACATTGATTTTATAGTTTAATAAGCGAATGTTTGTACATTTATTCTACTTGAAAATCAGCTTTTCATTATCTCGCCGAATAAGGAGCCGGATTACGTGTTTGCTCATTAGTCTGTCAACGTATGGATGCTCACGTCGCTGGACGTGTGCAATTCACTCGTATTAAGCACGTGCACGGGTGGTTCTTTCGAGGAGCGCACAATAATTGCAACGCTGTGTGCAACGAGAGAATCGTCTGTAGCGTGACGTAATGTGGTGGGTCTGCACTCGCCGGTCACGTCTCGTGACGCGGACGTGACGGACTCACAAATACGTCACCTTTTATACATTAAAATTTAAACGGAATGTACTTAATGAAATCGATCACATATAACACGTGAATTGTTAACAACTATCTTTCGCACAACTCGTTACAAAAAAGAAAATGCAGAGACTGGACTCACAGACATAATAAATAATAGCTATTAGGAATAAGTTCTAAATTTATAGTATAAACTGTATTGCGGGGATGATCTGCACTCGTTCGTTCCACTGGCCTCGCTCCTTTCCCACTCTGAATCGGTCAAGGTGAACGAGATTGTATCGAATTCGTCGTCTGCACCAAATGAGAATAAACAACAACTGTTGATTCTTTACAGCTGGGGCGCGCCCACGAGCAAATTATTCAGCCGCTGGAGAAGTTCCGCAAGGAGCACATCGGCGCCGTCAAGGTGAGGCTTCGAACTTTGACTTGTCAGTTGTAGAATAAATTTAATTACAATTATTTAAACGCAACATTTGAGAGGTTTTTAATGAAATTAGCACAATAGATAGGTTTGACGAAACGTAAGTAATACGCGTTAACTGCTCTAATTGCGAGAGACGTCAAAAATGTCGAACGCCGGCTTTTCACCAGAAACCGTTGTAACTGCAAGTGACCGATTCAGGCAAGAAATAATATGTAAAACCTGTATTTCAGGAAGGAAAGAAGAAGTTTGACAAAAAGACTGCCAAATTTTGCCAGAGCCAGGAGCGCACTCTGTCGCTGTCGACCAAGAAACAGGAAAACGTATTCCAAGAGGTCGGTCCGCCTCAGCCGTCGAGTCGCCTCCGTCACGTCCGCAATGTGTCTCACTCGCGTTCCGCACACGATCCGCAGGCCGACGCGGCGCTGGAGATGGCGGAGCGGGACTTCTGCCAGGCGTCGCTCGAGTACGTGTTCCAGCTGCAGGCCGTGCAGGAGCGCGAGAAGTTCGAGCTGGTCGAGACGCTGCTCGGCTTCGTGTTCGGCTGGTGGACCTTTCACCACACGGCGCACGACGTGCACCACGACGCCGAGCCCCTCGTGCGCGACCTGCAGCTGCGCATCCAACGGGTGAGTGCCCTCGCCGCCCCCGTCCCGCCCTCTCTCACCCGTCGTCTGTCCGCAGGTCTGCCCATCTGCGCCCCTCTGCGCCCCTCTGCGCCGACTCCGCCTCGCTCCGCCCCGGAATGCCGCGGGCGTCAGTCTTCGCAATCGCCGCACCACACCGAGTGCGTTGTGTGTCTCGCTTCCCTCTTCCGCCGCTTACCACTACTGGCCTCTCTCGGTTTTACTCACTAACACGCTGCTCGGTTTGATGCGTGTGTGTGTGTGTGTGTGTGCGTTTGATGCACGGCGAGTCGCTCACGCGTCCGAGCCGATAATACGTCAGAGTTCACGTTGCAGACGCGGAGCAACTTCGAGGAGACGAGCAAGCAGACCGAGTCGCTGATGAAGAAGATGATGGAGATGAGGCAGACGGTGAGTGACGTATTTATTAATTTTATATTTATTTTTATCTCCCGGGCGATCTTCCGCTCACGCTCGCGTTCCGTCGCAGCACCGGGAGGACGCGCCGGAGGACGGAGGACGGCGCGGCTACCTCTTCCTCATGGAGAAGAAGGCGTTCGGCACCACGTGGAGCAAGCACTACTGCGGCTACGAGCGCGCCTCGCGGGTTCTCTCGCTAATGCCGTACAACCAGATCAACCCCAAGTCCTGCGGCGCCGCAGACGCCGTGGCCGTGGCGGGAGCGCGCGCCGCCGACGTCGCCCTCGAGCGCCGATTCTGCTGGGACGCCGTACCCGCCGACGGCGACAGGGCCCCGCTCACCCTGCAGGCGCTCGGCGACCGCGACCGCGCCCGCTGGATGCGCGCGCTGGACACGCTGCCGCCCGCCGCGCCGCCCGCCCGCCCGCCGCTCTCGACGCTCGAGCCCGCCTGGGGGCTCGACGACGCCGGCTTCGCCTTCGCGCGCCGCCTCATCGCCGCCCTCGAGGCGCGCGGGCTCGACGAGCAGGGCCTGTACCGCGTCGCCGGCGTCGCCTCGAAGGTGGCCCGCCTCGTGGCGCTCGGCCGGGCCGGCCGGCTGCCCGTCGCGCTGGCGCCGCTCGAGTGGGAGAGCCGCACGCTCACGTCGGCCCTCAAGGCCTACCTCCGGGCGCTGCCCGAGCCGCTGCTCACGTGGCGCCTGCACGGCCGCTGGCTGGCCGCGGCCAAGTGCGAGTCGCGCGCCGAGCGGGCGCGTTCGCTGGCGACGCTCGTGCGCGCGCTGCCGCCGCCCAACCGCGAGATGCTGCGGCTGCTGCTGTCGCACCTGCGGCGCGTGGCGGCCCGCAGCGCGCTCAACCTGATGGGCGCCTGCAACCTCGCCGTGTGCTTCGGCCCCACCCTGCTGCGAGCCGAGCGCGAGACGGTCGCCTCCATCCTGGAGCTTAAGTTCTACAACGTGCTCGTGGAGGCGCTCATCGAAGACGCGCCCGATCTGCCCGACTCGCCCGACCCGTCGGAGTCGCCCCGCTCGCCCGATTCGCCCGCCCGCAACGGTGCGGCGCCCGACACGTGAGCGCTTTGCTTTCTTATTTCTTTCGAGAGGCTCCGGAGTCGGATGTCCGGCTGGGCTTTCGTATACAGTCTTCAGAATCGTACAGTTTGTGTGAATGCTATACAAGAGAACTTTCACCTTTTGCTGCGACGCTAGACGCACTTGAATTTGATTGCATTTTTGCTCATTTTATTTATTATTATTATTTATTGAGTGAGTGTTACCCTCATTATTCCCTCATTCCCTTCCTAATATTATCACACTGTGATGACAATTGTGTGCCTTTATTCGTGTTAAGAATATAATATCGAAACGGAAATATAAAGATAAATGTCATGAAAAATGAACCAATCGGACTTAAATCTAGTTTCGCGAGCCGAATAACTGGATTTTCCCTATTTCGATGTTTAGCCTTTTTGACTCATTAGCGTAAACTCTTTATTTCAAAGGGATCAAGGTGTAAAACAAAAACAAAATTGAAATATTTACGCTTATGAGTGCACATGAATAAATGGACTCTTACGAATAGAAGATCAAACTTCTGAAGCAATTGCCGCATCGTCCGGATTCCTTTTCATTTGCGTTTTTCGTATTTATAAACTAATTTAAGTGTGTTTGTGTGGAGTTGAGGGTAGGCGCGGAAAGAACTAATATCGTGTCACGTTTGTTTGCGTTTTAAAAATATAAATATCAATCCTATCTGATTTAAAAGTAGAAAAAGTGAAGCAGAAGTGCGTAATAAAGCAGTGGAAGTGTTAACTCACTAATTCATATCACAAATCCACGAAATTTCAACACATTTACAACGCTTCGTCAGTTGCTTTTAAACAAGTTTTAACCAAAAAAGAGGATCAAGAAGTAAAACGAAATATGTATGTACTTGGATTGCTGAATGTTTAACCGAAGAACTGTCAAGAAACGTGTAGAAAATCAATGTGATGAAATAATTTTATTATTCGTGAACAAAGTGCACGCAGTAATCAACTGTGAGTCAGCTACAAACAAAATGGAAATTGATATGAAGGAATTTTTGAGTAAGATTAAAGAGGAAATGGCAACACAAACCAAAGACATTACTATAGCAGTAACCAAAAATATCACTGAAATGCTAGAAGAAAAATTGCAGATATTGATAGATGAAAACTCAAGTAGATAAGTTAGAAAACAAAGTTAAGCATCTAGAAGAATACGAAAAACGGAAGAACCTTATAGTATATGGACTAAAAGAAGAACAAACCCAAAATTCTACAGTAGAAACCATCGTATCTACCCTACGTAAAATAGTTACAATAGAAAGGAACGAAATTAACAACGCTTTTAGAATCGGAAAAGAACAACTGCAATGTGACAAACCTAGACCTATTCTTGTCTCATTTGTTACATGCTGGAAAAGAAATGAGATAATTAAGAATAAGAAAAATCTACCTCCTTTTGTATATATCGAAGAAGACTTTACAAAAGAAACTTTAGAAAAAAGAAAACAACTTTTGCCGAAATTAAAAGAAGAAAGAAGGAATGGGAGGATTGCATTTTTTAGGGGAGATAATCTCATAGTAAAGGACTTCGGCGGTGGAAAAAGGAAAAGAAATAATTTTAAGTCGCCTCCTATCTCCAGCGCCAACTGCAAAGAGGAAAAATAACCAAAATTTACTCAACTTTATAAGGAGAGACAACGTACAAACCAATACAGAACGACCAAAAAACTAACAACTGAAAACATTATCAATAACAAAAAAAAAAAAAAACTACCACACTCCCCCAACTAATCTTCCAACCCGGCTGGTCACCGTGGAAGATTATTACCAAAACCCTCCAAGGACATCATCATCATACCACACAAAACAAGCAATGAAAAAGATAACGAAGGAAAATCACCATCTTTATATAATAACTTACAACGTTGGAACGCTTTCGTCATACGAAAATATATTAGAAATAGAGAAAGCGCTAGAAGGTATAAAAATACGATATAATTCGTGAATATAATAGATGAATATGAAAAATTCATTCTCTGCTTTACTGGACAAACGCCGGGCCTATATGAAGTGGGCTTCATAATAAACAAACGTTTAAAAGAATATATAGAAAGCTATATTGGAATGTTGGAACGTGTTGCTCTACTGAACTTGAAGCTACCAGGTAAAAATTTGACTATAATACAAGTCTACGCCCCAACAACAAAAGCTAATGAAGAAGAAATAAACAGTTTTTATAAAACTATATATACTGCCATGGAAATGGCACACGAAGAATTTATTCTAATGGGAGATTTTAACGCCAAAATAGGAGAGCCACAAATGGACGAACACACAATAATGAGGAACTACGGATACGGAGTAACAAACAATAGAGGGCAAAAACTTATAGACTTTGTGATGGAAAATAAACTAGCAATTATAAAAACCTTCTATAAGAAAAAAGCCAAAAGAAGATGGACATGGCGCTCTCCGGCCGGTTAGTATAAAAACGAAATTGACTATATACTGTCAAATCACCCAAAATTGTTTCAAAATATAGAAGTTCTGAACCTAAACTACGCATCAGACCACCGTCCTCTAAGGTGTAAAATTAGGCTAACAACGCAAAAGAAAAATAGGACCAACTTTACAAATAATAAAACAAGTCAACTTAGAAACAAGGATGAAATAACAAAGTAAAAAGAAAACCTATCAAGCTTCTCTTGGAGCCATCAGGTCAACCCATCAGCCTTGAGAACAAAACGGTACAGACCTCCTACGTAAAAATAAAGACGGCCATCCAACAAAGTTTGATCCTTGGGAAACATTAAGCAACTACAGACCAATCAGTTTGTTACCAAATATATACAAACTTTTCGCATCCATTATAAATAATAGACTAAGCCCGATAATAGAGGCAAAACAACCTGTAAAACAGGCAGGTTTCAGAAAAGGGTACTCTTCTATCGACCACATACACACCATAGAGTTAGTTATGGAGAAATATCAAGAGTTTCAGAGACCTCTTTACATAAGTTTTGTTGATTATCAAAAAGCTTTCGATTCAGTCACACACAAAAGTATATGGGAAAGCTTAAAAGAACAAGAGGTGCCAGATAAATACATAAAGGTGATTAAAAGCATATACAATAACAACAAAGGAAGAATAAAGCTAGAAACTTTAGGCCCCGCCTTCCATATAGAAAGAGGGGTAAGACAAGGGGACCCGCTCTCACCCACTATTTTCATAGCAATACTCGAAAACATCATGAACAAATTAGATTGGAGTAAAACAGGACTCTATATAAAAGGCACCTACCTAAGTCACCTGAGGTTCGCTGACGACCTGATCTTTCTGTCAGAGACAGTCAACGAGATGCAATTCATGATAGAATCTCTACAACAGGTGAGTGCGGAAGTTGGATTGGAGATGAATCTAACGAAGACAAAGATAATGAGTAATACACGAATAAGACCTATAACTATCAATGGTAACCCTTTAGAATATGAAGAAAATTATATCTACCTGGGAAAAAGAATAAGTTTCGAGAAAAACAGTAACATTATAGAAATAGAGAGAAGGGTCCAACAAACCTGGAATAAATATTGGAGCCTAAAAGAAATATTTAAGAGTAACTTACCAATAAGTCTCAAAGCTAAAGTTATGAACTCATGTCTACTACCCAGCTTAACTTATGGAAGCCAGACCTGTAAATTCTCTACACATATAGAGAATGGACAAAATAAGACACACAAAGATAAGAGCCGTCACTAAAGTTACAAACGCTTTAACTTTTGCCCGAAAACTGAAATGGCATTGGGCTGGCCATGTAGCAAGAATGTCTAGCAGAAAGTGGACCAAACGAGTTACCCAATGGAAAGGACCACCAGGCAAGAGGCGGAAGACAGAGACCCTTAGACCGCTGGGAAGATGATCTGAAAAGATCAGCTGGCAAAAACTGGCACTCCATAGCACAGGACCGACAACAATGGGCATCTTTGGAGGAGGCCTTTACCCAAACCGGGGTTCCTGTTAAATAAATAATATTAAATATATATTACTAACATAATTTAAGCTAACCTACTACAAAATCAATATTTTTGGTTACTTTAATATAACAACTACCAACTATTGTAAAACAGGAAATAAAAAGGCTTATTATTATTATTTTATTAAACTAATTTAAATCACAATCTGGATATTATTTGGAAATTCCCTCGGGAACTTGGCAAATAAATGATGTCCGAGTTGAAATGCTTTCAAATACTTTTCATTTTCAGCAAAATCGTTGCGCGGTGCGCTTGGGCTATACGACACCACATAATAATAAACCAATCACTCTTTGGAATATTATATAAATTCGCTTTGCACGCAGCCCGAGAGATGGGTGTCTGGAAGCAATAAAACAAATAAAACCAATATTAACAATATTTGTTCCGTAGAAATTGTATGGTAGATTTTCTTTGAAATATTCATCCCTCCCGACCGTACGACCTGGATAATATTCACCCTGCAAGCTTTGATCGGTGACCACCCCCTTATTACTATTTCACCTGAGAGTTTCCTCGGGCCGTCGAATTGGATGTGAACAATAATTTAAACCAAAAGTTGGAACAAGTTTTAAAGTATACAATAGAACCTCACACGAACCGCCCCAAGTAGCCGATCAAAGTTTGTGCGAGCAAAGTCTCTGCCACCGTTTAGGCGGGCCCTGGACGGGCCAGATTTAAATTCCTAGCATAGTTCGGCGCACCAGGAAGTCGCTCCGTTTATTATTAACCAGACTGAGAGCCTCAAAATGGAGAAATACTTTTGGGGTTGTTGAAACTAACATATCACGACTTTCTTTGTTAGCTTGCAGAGGGGGTTGTAGGGTACAACAACCTTCACAAAGGTATCGACTATTGTTGCACAGTAGTTAATACATTCAACTGAACTATAATTGTCCGCACGTTCCGATCCATTTGGATAACTGAACTCTGTGCACTACAATATGTTTTTTGTTGTGTTCGCATGTAAAAAAGGAATTTAAATAACTATTTAAGTTTATTTACTGATTGAACTTCTAACAACTTATTCCCGATCTAAACGTCATATCGCAAAAAGCATAAGACTCAACTTAACTGGTGTTTATGCACCGCATCAGTGTATAAACCTTGATTCCCTCTTCAGCTGTAGACTTATGAGCCCACAACCGGCACACGGTGACGTGAATTTGTGAGCTAGAATCAATGGTTTCTTACCTGCCTTGTTTCGAGTATTAGTTTGCGTGTTGTTCCCACGAGAATCTAGGTGCGTGCTCCTATTTCACCATGCCTACTGCTGATAGAGGACAAATCTTTGTTTTTAATTTATTTTATTATTATTACCTAATTACTTAAGATGTCATGTGGAACATCGTGTAATGGTTGCAGCTCCTTACAAACGTTGTGTAAAACAAAAACTTGGGGATTAAAAAGAGTGGCGGAGAGTTTATTGCCACTTCTTCTCTTATGTTCTACGCCCTTGATTTGAGAACTGGCACTAAATGTTAAGTTAGAAGCATTTCATATACATTTCTTTTTTGACGTTCATAAGTGTACATTGCGTTACCTATATGATTAAAAGATTTTTGACTTTGGCCCAGCCTTTTCTAATGTCTTGTTCTCAACTGAGACTTTTCCATCTCGTAGATTAAATATAAATCAATGCTCTTTGTCGTACAACGCTCGGTCGTGACACTTGCGATTGTGCCGCCGGGTGACTAAACAAACGTAACCCCACTTGCCCTATTGTTGTAACTTGTTGAAGACGTAATGTTAAAACCGTTTGACAAGATACTTAAATATCGACAGTTCGGGTTGGCTTAAAAGGCCTCTGAGATAGTACTCTTGTAATGTAACGGTTGAACCGAACTTTTATTTAACCCCACGGCTTCCCTAAATTGATTAGCGAAACCCTCATCCTATCCTGTAATGCCTCGCTTCATGACGAAAGGGCCTGAACGCGATCTTTTCGCGAAATATTGAAAACGGCAGATCCTAGCCTCCGCAACACACCAGCTATTTGCGCCTTGTATTTAGTCCCAATCATAAAAATATATAGGTAGCGGGAAAAAAAGATTTTCAATAAACAAACGGCGAATAAGAAACCTACAAGCCCCGATGCAAAATAGTTTGTCTAGTATGGAAAGTAGTGCAAAGCGTAAAATATAGAAAGTAAATATTTGTAAAATAATTAAGAACGTTTAATAAAAAGTAAACCACAATTTGCGGAACATTTTGAAGTTTATTTTAACATCACTGAAATTCTTTCATGACTTTGCATAACATAAAAAAAATCAAAGAATCTTGATGCTTAAGTAACGGAATAGAGGGCAGTAAATTCACTTCCAAAAGGTGTTGATACCTTGCAGCATTGATAGAACCATCCACCTTGTGCAGACATGCAGCCCCATATCATAAGAGACGGAAACTTCACTTTGCGTTTGAGACAATCAGTATGAAATGCCTCATTTTTGTTTCGAACCACTTTTCGGAACGTGAGAACGGAGACGTCTTTGTGAATCGTGTCCTTCCATTGCACCGTGAGTTCTCCAGCTCGAGCACGACGATTATTTTTTATAATTTTCTTCAGGATTCTGTTTTCTACTTCACTTGTGATGCGTGGTCGACCAGTTTTCTTCAAACAAGAAGTCGTTCTATTATTTTTAGTGTTGAATGATAGATTGGACTGTAGACCTGGAAAGTATCAAGTCTTTAGATAATTTCAACTAAACAATTCGCTTTCGAAGCTCTTCACACACGGGGTTGCCACGACCCATTGTTTTGAAAACTAATGAAAAAAACAGAAATTTTCAGAATTTATACTGTCTCACTTGACAAATGACACAGAATTACTTTTACAAATTTAAATTATGCAACATAATTGTACAAAGAAGGAATAATCTCATTTAACTCACCGATAGACGAACTCATTTGCATCGATTAACAATTAGACGAACTATTTTGCTTATAACTTCTTCGAATTTAAAACAGGATATGTATTAATTTAAAAAGCTAAAATAGTTTATTGGTTCATAATTTTAAAAAATGGCATTAGTAACGCGAAATGTGATAGTAGAACAGCTTAATATTTTATAGACGAACTATTTTGCATCGGGGCTCGTATATTCCAAAAAACTATAAAGCCTACAAACAAAAAATATATACACGTCGTAGGTTTTGTTTTTTAACAAAAAGTGCATACCTCGACATATCCTCGATAGAAACTCAATAAAAAGGCACTCAATGTTCAGTCGTAGAGATGAGCGAACAATAATTAGTATACCTAGGCATATATTTAGTCGCTTACGAACACTCGCTAAACATTATATTATGTTTGAGGGCCTAATTAAATAAACGGGGACAACGCAACAATTTCAAATTTATCTTAACTAGCGTCATATCAAAACCACAGCGAAATGTAATGAAATCAAATCGACCGTGTCAAAAAATTATGGCTCTCAACAAAATTTATAAAATAAATATATTAATTTCGAAAAACAATAGACTTTAAACTATCTAATGACAAGATCGATCAACAGACGTAATATAAAAATAAACTTTTAAAAAAGAAATGACCCAAAAGTTATAAACTAAAAACTGTGCAAATGTTATTGAAGGGATTATGCAGGAAGTGATAAGACGGTATTGTGAACATCTGCCGCATCTGTGTGAGGTGCTTTTGTCGTGCTCGTAAGGCCTCTACCTGCGTCCGCCGAGAGGCGAACAGCTGGCGCGGCTCATTATGCAATGTACAAAGCATAGATTTCGTTCAATTCGATTTTTGTTCAACGAAAACGATTAAACGATTGTTTTGTGATAATTTTCAATTACGATATCATTATAGATCATTGAATCGCAAACATCAAAATCTTTTAACTTTGTATAACCTTATAGAAACGGGCATATATAATGCAGATTGAAAATAACACATCTCATATTATAAAAGTCCAAAAAGTGTATGCATTTAATAGCGTGATAGCAAAGGCAGCGCAAAAGATAAGACGCGGAGGATGCGCGGTGTGGCGCAGGTGTGCATTCCTTTGCGGCAGCTGCGTGTTCCGCGACAGATGCTCACTCGCTGCAACCACTTTCTATCTATTCATCTCTACAATTCAACTGTCCAAAATTAACTAATAAGTTCTCACTATATGAGGTTTACTTTATTGTCATACTAACGACCCGCCCCGGCTTCGCACGGATATAAAAATATATAGCCTATGTCACTAACTGAAAAAATGATTAAAATCGATCCAGTAGTTTAGATTTTTTAATTACTGCCCGTGGCCCTCACGCGTTAAATTTGGATATTTTGATTCTGGATCTGATAGGGTTCAGCCTGCGTTTGCAATGTAAGCGGAAAAAATGTAATTATTTACGACATCACATTAGAAACCTCAAAAATTACAGAATTTCTCCACTATTTAATGGATGTTATTATACATATAAACCGTAGTTTTAAAGATTTAAGCATACATGGGGACAGAGAAAGCGACTTTGTTTATACTGTGTAGTGATGTTGATTAGCGCAATAATGTCTTAGAGATCGAGCCGTTAGGATTAGGCGAGCTATGTAACGTTAACTGTGGAATGACTTGATTTTCTAATGATTAAATGATGCGCTTTTATAATTATGACACGGCCTTGCCTATTATCGATGTATGGATGGGTAACAATAGTGAGATATCGAAACATGGTGCGTAACGGACAGGCTAGGCCCAACATACGCCACCGCAAAAAAGTAATCACGATAAGATTGGCCATCTGCGCCTACGAAGCCTCAAGGCGGCGAAGGGCAGGTGCGCACGTGCCACATATAACGCGCTGCAACGCTCGGTCCGCGCATTCAGAGTTGAAACGTTTCGTCGGGCGCTCGTCAGTGTCCGCCAGTAGTTCCGTGCAGTGCTTGTGACGATAGACAATAATATGATTATTTGCCTTTCTGGATTTGTTATCGCCGGGTTGGTACTTATAACTATAAAAGCCATTATTGTATTATTAATTTTAGCAATTATATGTGTTCGCTTTTTAAATTAATATTAGTAGCCTCCTAGTGTAGTTTGTCTATCGCGCCTAGTTCCAAAATTTGAAAATGTATTTATTTGTCATTTAAATGTTATATATAATAGTTTTAAATTTTATACCAATGTTATACAAACGAGCGCAATTAACCGACCGTAATGTTTACGAAAATATCTGTGCCTTCACAGAAGCAGCCCCGGCGCCATGTCCTCATACGCGAGGAATGATATGGTAAGTTTACAATTCGCCCAATTCACTCCGATGTACGGAGACCGCACTCGTATACTATAATAATCGCTCGTCTCGGTTGTGTGACAGGCGGGCGCGGGTGTTTACTCGCCGCAGCACCTGCAGCTGCTGCAGCAGTTGGGGCGCGTGGCCAGCTCCGAGTCGGTGTCGAGCTGCGGCGGGCCGCCGGGCCCGAGGTCGGGCGCTTCGCGCGTGCGAACGCTGTACGCCTGCCTGGGCGAGAGTGACGGCGAACTGTCCTTCGAACCCAACCAGATCATCACCGACGTGGTCCCCTCCGGGGAGCCGGGCTGGCTGAGAGGCTCGCTGGACGGCAAGAGCGGGCTCGTGCCCGAGAACTACGTGGAGCCTCTACCGTGAGAGGCCGGCCTCCGTCGCCCGACCGGCGACGTTCGACGACCTTGGACGGGCCGAGCCCGAGTCTCCTCCGCGCATCCCGCGACGCGCCTTCCCCGTCAACTATCGCAGCGATATTTAGTTACGAGTACTCGTTGATATTTTTCTACGTTTTGTATATTTCGTCCTCTGTACATACGACTTGTTACTATTTTAGTCCCTATTTATTGTACGTTGTGACTTTGTACCAAATACACTTTGTGAACGTTTTTACTGTGGATATTGTATGATAAGATATTATAATATATACATTTTTACTAACGTATTCTATCTTTTATTGATATCACCATCATTATCGTCAAATCGTGCGCGGCCGGAGATTAATAGCATTTATAAAAGTTTTAAACGTGCTTTATTTTAAATTCATGAATCCACAGAACATTTCAAAGTGAATCCACTAATACTAATAGGATGGCGAAGCACTATGGAAAGACGATTGAATATTTGCACACGCGTAGGGTATTAAATAGAGCTTCAAATAAAGATGCTTTACTTGTATTAGAGTATTTATGTATAAATAAATGATAAAAACAACAGTTTAAGGAAATGGCCTTTATTTTATACTTAATTATACTTTCACCATGAATTAAAATTTTGTGACCTGAAGATGGCATGTAGTACCATTCATAATTACTCACATAGATTCTGGCATTTTCCAGGGCATAATTGCCAATTTTTTCAGCATTTATCATAACACCTGATGAAAGAGCTTGTAATATTGTGTAAAATAACATTCTGCATTGCATAAAACAATCTTCTAGCTGTATTACCGTCATTTGTATAACGATGATCAATCCTAGCTCTAAACGAAAACGTTTTTTGTACTAGAGTTTTCTGTTGCTTTTGTCGTTTCTTTCTTTCAATTGTGGCTGACCATGTTTGCAAAGAGAGGTTGTATGAAGTAATATCATTTCCATACAACGAATCCAGGCATGCAATGTAAAATTGTACCTACATGTGGATGTGATGCAACGGGCATGTGTATATTCGTAATTCTCGTGATCCATCAGCATTCTGCTCTGGCTTACGTTATCGATGAGATTCAAATATAGAGACTTTGTATCACTATCAGCAAGCCTCTCTCTTCCCCTATTGAACGTAATCCCTGAACAAAGACTGGAAGTATTCAAAGCCATTCACCAAGAAGTATAACTTCAATAAAAAATACAGCGCTTCTTAATTTTCTACTTTGCAATTATCACTATTGGTCACGGATCAACATTGGCTGCAGCATCTTACGCCTGAAGACATGGAGACTGTCATTAAATGGATCATTGATGATTATGTTACACTTAATGTAAGAGATTAATAATAAATATTTATTTATTTAATTTTTCAAATGTAAATTGAACTTTATTGACTATAATGACTCCTTTTCCAGTCTTTGATTATTTAATTGTAATTTATTATTTGCATGCAATCAAAAACTATTTTTAATAATGCCAAATAAGTATAACTTCTTACGCGCGTACATAAGTACACGCACCCTTTTAATTTTTTTTAGCTTATTCTGACGAGTCCGACCCTATAACCGATAAGAGACTCATGGTCTTCCGCGTTTCCCAGAAGAAGTAGATGGCGTGAAGTCAGTTACTTCTTCCGAGTTACCACATATTCTGAATTCAAGCAATCGAGGTTCTTTTTAAAAAACGATTTTTTTCCGCGATGCTTCTGCTCATCGTCTATTAAAGGGAGGAATAAGATTCTTTTGAATATCAACTACCATCGTCAAGTTTTCCTCCTTCGATGTATGAATGTAATAATTCACGCTTAGAACACTTGTAAATAGAAGGCATTTAAAATTTAGCGAATATACGTAGCAGTCAAACGTCTGTTTAGTTTTATTACGAATTTGTTAAAGCTATATTTAAGGAAATCACTCTTTACATATTGTTCATTCTTTAGGGAATGACTGGGCTGGTAAATGAAACTCTTAGACTTCTTGTATAAACTTGTTTAATTTCTTTATATGACCTTTCGCTAGTCAAGTACTATAAGTGATGGCGCACGTCGCCCCAGCCCCCACCTTACAATTATAATTTAAAAATGCGCCTGATATAACAACTTTAAAAATAACAAATGAGAAAATAATCGATCCGATTAATTTACCGAAAATGTCACATCACTTATACCTAACCAATAGAAAAGTAGATAATGGTGGATTGTTTACAAATTTCAATACATTTCACAAAACTTTAAATTTTTTAAAAAAATACTTTGACGCATTTCCGGCAGCTAAAATCACTTGGAGGTGTTCCAATGAAGGTCCCCCAAGACTCCTGCATAATCAGTATCATCAGATTCGGGTGCATCGTTATCGCACCGTTACCATAATTTTTTTTCTCTTACCATTTTTTGTGCACTCTTCATTGATGCACAAACATGTATTTTTGTAAGTGTTTGTTTCGTTAGTGTCGCAACGACGGCCATAGATACACAATAATCACAACACAGAAAAACTACACACAGTTTCTCACAGTTCACTTGCATATATGTTTTAAATAGAGTCTGGCTAACGAAAGTAGATACTGGATTTTTTTGCAAACTTTTTATATGACAACACTAAAGTTAGTACGGTCAAAATGTCTTGATATTTTTTTATTTTAAATAAGTACATATTAGTTTTAGTTACTTTAGATAATGTTATTGTTCTTTTACAGATAGTCTTGAGATTATTAGCCAACGGTTATGAATTTAAGAAAAAAAAAATGAACGTTCATTATTAATTGAACGATATGATATAGCTGCATGGAGACATCGCTTTTTGCGTACCATTGTATCGAAACGTGCAGAAGGCAAGCCAATAATCTACTTAGATGAAACTTATGTCCACAAAACCTATTAGCCTAAAAATTGCAAGCATCCACTAGTAAAATAAAAATGAATGTCAAAGTATCAAAGTGAGTTGTTCCAACTTTCCTTTTTACTTTAGGGCTGCCATGCTGATATTTTTTAAATTTGCCGCGCTTTTTCAGTATCAACTTTAATTAGCCAGACTCTACAACACTACACTTTTGAAAATCGATTTATTTACATAAATATTCCTTTATCCAAAAAGTAACTAGCCCTGCCAGAGATAAAAAAATCCACTGATATTGCCTAACGATTGCTTTTTATGGAGTATTATTACCATTGACTATATTTAATTAATTATTTTTCGATGTGAACGCTATCGTATCGTATGTCGAAGAAAGTTTAAGTTCAAAACTTACACAGAAACCACGAACAAAGCTATCGTTCTCTCAGCGGTCTCGGGATTTCAATACGTTTCAGTTTATTATTATTAGGAGGTAAAAGGGACGAAGAATGCTTTTGAATTTAGGAAATATTTATTTTATAAATAGTTTTCAGTGCAAGTAGTCTCACAACTTCTGGTATTTCTTCGAGGAGTGCTTCGGAAGCGGGACTCGGGCGAGGAATAAAACCATATCGTAATAATTAAAATCTCTCGTTCTAACAAGCGATTACGTATATTTTTCGATAGACGTGTAAAAATCTAAGAGCGAGAGCGCATCCGTCGGACACATTTCCGGACAGCTCCCGAGATCCGTATTTACAGAGCGCCGTCGGCGACGGCCGCGGGCCGCAGCTGCTCGCGCGCCTTCCGCTCCAGCCCGTGCGCCTCCGCGGCGCGCGCCACCCGCACCAGCGCCGCGTACTTGTCCTGCAGGGCGCGAACGCGAGCCGCGTGCTCCTCGGCCGCCGCCCGCGACACGCGCTTCAGCTCCACGACGCCCGCCTCGCGCGCCGCCAGCGCCGCCTCGAGCTCGTGGGCGCGCGTCGCCGCCGCCTCGCCGCGGGCGGCCGCCGACTCGGCCTCGGCCTCGGCGCGGGCCAGCGCCGCGCGCGCCGCTCGGAGCTCGCCGCTCAGCCGCTCCGCCTCCGCCGCGTGCTTCGCGTCGTCTCCAGACCCGGCCCCCGGCCGGCCTCGGCGCGCGTCGTCCTCCCCGACGGCGACCAGCTCGCGGCGCAGACGCCTCGCCCGCTCCGCGCGGCGCTCGGCGGCGAGGGTGGCGCGAGCGAGGGCCTCGACGCGGCGCGCCGTCTCGAACGCCTCGCCGCGCGTGCGTCGCAGCTCGGCGGCGTCGAGCGCCCTCTGCGCCTCGGCCTCCTCGAGCGCGGCCTCGGCGCGAAGCCTAGCGACGGTCTCGTCGGCCAGCGCGTCCTCCAGGCGGCGGTCGGGAGGCGCGAGGGTCGCGGGCGGCGGGTCGCGGGGCGGACGCGAGGCGAGCTCGTCCCGCTCCCGTTGCGAGGCGCGAAGGCGCTCGCGCAGCGCGGCGTTCTGCAGCTCGAGCATGCGCGTGCGGCGACAGCGGCCCAGGAGGCGTCGGTTGCGTTCGGCGTGCGCCTCGCGGCGCCACCTTTCGTACATGAGCTGCGCGTGAACCAGCGCGAGTTGCTCGGCGAGTTCGCCGGCGGTCGCCGACCTCTTGCCCGAGTACAGATCGGCCAGATAGGCGTCGAGGCGCTCGCAGGGCTCACCCCCTCTCTCGTCCGTCTGCGGAAACGAAAAATATAATTAAACAGTCGGCGGAAACCAGCTTTCGAAACCGAAACAAGTATCAATCAATCGCCATATTTTATTTTACTTTTTTATTTTATTCGGAGAGAGTCGGTAAATATACGTTTGGTCGCACCCACTTGTGTCTGCTCGGCGTCCGGAAGCGAACGGAAGAAGTCCGCGATGAGGAACTCGTAGGGAGCCGGCCAGGTGTCCACCGTCTGCGCGGCCGCCTCCGAAGTGCGCGAGCGCAGAGCCGGCGAGCAGGACGAGGCGCGTCTCGCGGGCGGCGCCCGACGAGCCCCCTCGCGGCGGGGCGCCTTCGCGCGCGGGTCTCGCCAAGCGGGCGTTCCGCCGTCGCCCGAGTCCCACGCGGCTTCGCCGCCGGCGCGCTCCGTCAGCTCCAACACCTCGCGGTCCTCCACGTTGAGCGGCTCCGCTTCGCACGCCGCGGCCACGGCGCGACTCGGCTCCGGCCGCGGGACGGCGCCGGCCGGCGGCGGCCCCCCGCCGAACGGCACGGGCGACTCCGCGGCGCGCCTCTCGAGCGCCACGCGGGCCAGGCGCCCCGCGTACGCCTCGCCCCCGACCGGCGGCGACGTCTCTTTCCGCGGCGGCGACGGCGGCCGAGAGCGTCGACCGATCGCGCGGACGACCGCCGAGTCGTTCGGGAAGCGGAACTGGGTGCGCGCGTCCTTGGCGGGCGTGTTCTCCGGGGTCGCCTCGACGGCCGCCTCGGGGGCCTCGGCGCTCTCGGGCTCCGCCGGCAGGGGAGTGTTCGGCGCCGACTCGGCCCCGCACCTATCGGCGAGCGGAAACCAGGGTTCCGCGCCGGGCCGTAGCGCCGAGGCGGCGCGGGCTGCGTGGGCCCCGGATCCGGGCGCCGGAGAGGCGGACGCCGGCGGTCGGAGAGGCGCCGGCGCCACCGTCGCGGGCGCGCGGTCCTCGGGCGGGTCGCGAGCGAGCAGCGAGAGACGCCGCGCCTCGACCAGCACGTCGTGGAGTTCGACGCGAGCCCACCGCGCCGGGTCGGCCTCCCGTTGCCGCGAGCCGGTGACGAGGTGCGGATGCAGTCGCACGGACCGAAGGAGCGGCGCGAGGGCGCGTTCGAAGGAGTCTCGGGCGGGCGCCGCGGCGCACTCGGCGCGCAACGTGTCGAGCAACGTGCAAGGGTGGGTCGCGTAGAGGGCGTGGAAGAGAGCGAGGCGGGCGAGCAGCAGATGGTCCCGGACGGGTTGCGGCGGCGGAGGCGACTCGAGCGCGGGAGGTCGCAACAGCGCGTCCGCCAACTCGGGCAAGTGGGACGCGGCCAGGGCGGGCTCCGCGGGCAGCAGGGCGGCGAGCGAGAGCAGCGCGTGGAGCGACGCCAGCGGTGAACGCTCGAGGCGCGCGGCGCGCATCAGCTCGCGGGCCACCGGGTGCGTCGAAAGGCGGTGCAGCCAGGCGGGCCGTCGCGCCACCAGCGGCGCTATGGCGGCGAGGGCCTGGTGGCGGGCCGAGCGGTCGGCGCGCAGGTGGTCGACGAGCGCGTCGAGCAGGAGGCGCGCGTGGGGCTCGGGCGCGCGGGCGAGATGATCGAGGACGCGCGTGGATCCCGTGCGCGCGTGATAGTTCAACAGGCCGCGCACGAGCCAAGGCTCCCGGATGGCCGCGAAGAGCGCCCCGACCACTTCCGGCGCGTCGCGGCCCTCCAGCAGCGCTATCACCTCGTCTGCTTCATGTGCTGTCAACATCTCCCACCACCTGATAGGAAAAACCAAAATAAATCTAACCTAGGTTAACAATAGATAATAATAGGTTTTTTGGGCAGCTCATACACAGTACAGGCATTTTATTCAAGCCTCCGCAGCTCGGGCTTTTTGTTCGCTCTCCGTCTGCGCCTACGGATTTAAAATAACACTCTTGGGGTAGAACAGACTAGAAACACATCAGTTGAGGATGACTTTCAGAAATTAATTTAATACCTCTTGTAAAACCATATTGCTGCCTATGCAAAAGTTTATTATTATTGAAGTGTATCAGTCATTGATCAAGAATAATTTATTCAAAAATTTTACTCAATGCAGGCAGCACAGGTACTGGTCTAAAATTTCTGGGGTCAGAAGTGCTGCCTGTTTTGAATAATGTTGTGATTTTACTCACGATCATCTGGTCTGGAAAGATTCCACAATCTATACATTCATTAAATATTATAGCTAACTCGGAACCGATAGCATTGGTTACTGATTGTAAAATGAATACAGATACACCCCAAAGATCTTATTTTTTTTAATTTTAGTTGTTCAGCTATTTCTGAGCACTGCATTAAGTTTTTTTAAAAAGTATTTGATTATTCTTTAACATTTTTTATACAACAGATAAAATCTGTAGTAGACATACACTTAATATGATGTTTGTGTGAATGAACATCTTCATATGATTAAGTCAGGGCACTGGTTATAGGTGCTTTTTACTTGTCCTTTTTAAAAACATCTTAAATCTGATACATGAAAATGCCTTAAGGTTTGCCACCCTATTCCCATTACAATAGATTTTACATGTTTAAAATATTTGTACATATAAGAAATTATATACTTATACATGTTTACACCAATATGAAAACTACACACTATCACATTAAAGATTTTTATGTATGTGTATTTATACTCACCGATCAAATGTTCGGAGTGGTGAACCTCCGTTTATCGCAGCCGGAGGAATTTTGAGCTAATTGGTTTAACGTCAAAATTGAAAAAGAAATTTCCACCGTTTTCGCTGTTTTTAGTCGTTAAAGCCAATGAGGCCGAAGAAAATTTTCAAATTATTGTTAACAGAAATGGGAGAACAAATTTCTAAGAAAGTTGAAAACTTTAAAATAAAATTCTATTTTATCGCCTTTTATCCAATTTTTATTTAGTCATTTCGATTTTTTTTATTTCATTTTGACATCAGACATATTGTTAACATGACGGTTTTTTTTTCTTCTAAAGAGTAGGCCGAAGTCTTTAGACACGACTTTTTTTTATTTCAGCTAATTAAAGTTCGAAATTAAAAATTTTACTTTTTTGATGGCTTTACTATAGTTGTTGGCTAACTATATACATGTCTCTAGGATACCCTCTAACTCTTAAGGCATACAGAGTACCAAAATACAATCAAGTTGTGACTACTACAGGAGAGTAGTAAGGGTTACTGACATAATACTTTGGAAATTACAATTATATTATTATAAACTTATGAAAATCTTGTAAATGAACGTGCGAAATAGTCGATATCAGAAATACACGATACACATAGGAGAGTCAGAATATGAATACCTAAAGTCTTAGAACCAATTTAAACGAGAGGCCGCAAACAGAAAGACGTAGATCAAGATATAACATCACTAGAAGTCGCTAGTCTATCTGGTGAACATTAAGACCAAAATAGGAATGATGCTAGTAAGGCTACAATAAAAGCACACGTTTATAATGCTAAATGAAAAGACGACTATGATTGATTTTCAATTATACAAAAATCTCTTATTTTTGATATTAAAATCGCGTACAAAATCGGTTTATAATGTAAAAAGAAATCGATTTTCTTCGATTATTTAGTACATCGCGTTCAAATATGGAGATAAATATGCGTATTCAAATTTATTCATTGAAATCATTGAATCAAAAAATATGAATGTATCAACAATTTTTGTCGATTTTATTTGTTGCAATAATCTAATGAAAAACAAAAACGATTAAAAAGAGTGGCGGAGAGTTTATTGCCAGTTCTTCTCTTCCCTGTCCTTGATGTGGGTGTTACGTATGTATCCGACATAATATTATCTATGGTTATCACCATAACAGTGAGAACTGGCAGTAAATGTAAAATTAGAAGCATTTAATGCTTAGACGGACTATGGTATAGACCAGGCATAAGCGTACAGCGTGTGAGATAGCGAATGATCGACATAATATGTCGTATTTACAGTTTTAATTCATTGAAGATTGCTTATTATTGACCAAAATACACATTCGAATGAATAATTCTTGAACGAAGTTACTGAGTCGTGATAAAATAAGTTACTTACCGATGAAAGGTTATGTTTGCTTCTTGACGTTCACTATAGCTTTTACAGCCAATAATTGGCTAATAATAATTACATAATTATTATGCAACAATTCACCATGACTGACACTTTAAATACACCTCTTATAAGGATAAAGTCTTAAAATATGGGTTTGACTTGGGTTTCACAGATTTATAAGTAAGCGGTGAAAACTTGTTTACCACCAAGGGCTCGGTCGTAAACAAATAAAACCCGATACGCAAATAGAGACAGAAAAACTGATACTCTGTTTCGCTCGCACTTAAGTATTTCGTTATTATTGTTATTTTAGCAGCTCATCTAGTTCTATACTCTATCTAGGATTTAATATATAATATATAAATATAATATTTCTTTGAAGTTCATAAGTGTTCATTGTGTTACCTACATGATTTTTGACTGTTGACTTCTGACTTTAATATTAATAAAGTTAGCGTAGGAAGATTTCTTTTATTTTTTTGTTTCAATCTTATAAGTTATAATCATCAGAATTTTTTACACGAGTTTCAGACCCCAATCGAATAAAACGTTAAATTCCGTGTTGCATTCACGGAAAAAATAAGAGAATATATTATTTTTTACAAGATTCCTATGATGTAGTTTTTGTTATTAGGCATTTCGCTCTAAACCGGCTACTATATTAGTATACTCTTTGTTTTGTTATTACCTGTGAATAGTTATGTGACTACTGACTTATGAACATTTATAACTAACGCGTAATCTGTGTCAAATTTAAAAAATATTGAATACATAAAATAAATATTCAATATTCACAGTCACAACATACTATTGCTTGTAATTTAACCCGTATTTTGTAAAATAATTTATTGGTCTAATATTTAAATTAATAAAATATTAACAGAATACGATATCTTTAAGTTATTGTCTGTAGATCGATGGAGCATCAGAAAGTACTGTAATAATTCCAACCTGTTATTTTACAACAAACTAGTATCTTGTTAAATATTAAATCAAAATGTTAAGAGCAATATCTTTAATTTGTGTTGAGGGTAAAATGCTGCGTCGTAGTGATTTTTTAAAACTATTTCGTAAGTATGATCTTTAAATAATACTTTTGTTACTAACCAAAAATTGATGAATTGTTTAAAGATTAAAAACTCTCTATTAAAAACAATATTTGCTAAATTAACTAATGTAATAAAAATATTGCTAATTATAATTTTTTTATCAGTATTATACTAATACTATGAAATGAAAGAATCTACCGGATCATTTATAGTAATGCTGTAAAACTTTGTGCAACCCCTTTGGCACATTATAAGGCTTAATCTCGTTTTATATGTACCATTGAATATAATAATATACTTTAATGCTATTATTATTAGCAACTAAGTTTTAATATGAAAGATATGGTTGAGGAATGAGCTTTATGCTTAAATTTGGTTATATTGGCAAAACTTTTGCATGGTCGGGAATGATTAATAGACGGATGTGAATGCCGATTATGCTTAAAATTAGGCTGGTTTCGATGGAAGATTGATGTTGCACATCTTGTTTCCATCTGTCTCATTCTTTTCAAAATACTTTAGGGACCGTTAGGATGACAAAGTAAGAGTAAGACAGAATTGACATCACTAATTGTCAACTTTTTCCAAGTCATTGAACAAAATTTCACATATATATTTATGTTTTTCATTTGGCAGGTTCACAATGTTCAGTTCACTCAAGTTTAAAATCCGACCCGGTAAGTAAAGTCAATAAAAAATTTTGTCATTGTAAAGTGTTTTATTGATTTGTTAATAATTATTATTGTAGATTGAATTTTTCTTACAAGCCTACGAGGAAATTGAAGAAATATAGAACGGTATTTGAAGCCATTAATAATGTATAAATAAGAAATAATACATTTTTAGATCGATAAGGTCTGTTCTCTTGAATATTTCCAACTTCAGACAGTAGTCAGCGGTGTGGGTGTAAAGAACGTGAGACCAGGGACAGATGTTTCACACTCCCCACCCCCTCCGACGCCGCCGCCGCCTCCACCGCGCTCCCGCCGCGCCTTCACCCTCATCACGGCCGTCACTTTCACAGCCTCCCTCGCTGGAGTGAGTCACTTTATTATATTAGAGTACCTATTCTATAAATTGCCTTTTTCATTTCCTTTTAAAGTCATTTTTATAATTCACAGATTTATTTGTATCGGAAGAGAACGCAAGATAAAGAAGATGCCGTGTCACTTACGAGTGCAGGTCAGTCCAAAAGATAAACGTGAACGAAGTCGAGTCGTTGAATAAAATAAAAATAAGAATAAAAAAAATTAAAATGCCTTTTTCTTCGTTCTCGTGTTCAGAAGCCGGCGAGTCGGAAGCGCGGACGTCATGTTCTCCGGAGCGCGGCGATGGGCTGCCGGCGCACGCGCAGTTCCTCCTCGTGGGCGGCGGCACGGCCGCCTTCGCCGCCATGCGCGCCGTTCGCAGCGCTCGTCCCGACGCGCAGGTGCTGCTCGTGTCGCCCGAGCGGGTGCCGCCGTACATGCGCCCGCCGCTCACCAAGGAGATATGGCGCGAGCCTGACCTAGCCGAGCGCGCGCTGTCTCCCGAACTTCTCACCTTCCGCCAGTGGAACGGTAGACGGCGATCCCTCCTCTACGAGCCGCTCGCCTTCTACACGCCGCCGGAGCGCCTCCGCGACGCGGCGCCCGGCGCCGGCCTCGCTCTGGGCTGGCGGGTCGTCGCCCTCGACCCCGCCGAACGGTCCGCCGTGCTCGAGAGCGCCGCCGGAGAGCGCGCCAAACTCACCTACGACGAGTGCCTGGTGGCGAGCGGCGGCCGGCCGAAGCGGATCGGCGCGCTGCGGGACGTCGCCGCCGCCGGACTGTCCCTCGCTCTCGGCTCCGTGGACGACGTCGCGGCTCTCGCGCGAGTCCTCGACGGCGGCCGTCGCACGGTGGCGGTGATCGGCGGCGGGCCGCCGGGCGCCGAATTGGCGGCCGCACTGGCCGACCGCGCTCGAGTCGTGCACGTATACCGCGAGAGAGCGCCTCTGGCGACGTCGCTGCCGCCGAACCTCGCGGCGGAGGCGGCGCGCGCGCTGGCGGCGCTCGGCGTGGAGGCCGCGCCCGGCCTGGAGATCGTCGGCGCGACGGCGTCGGGCGGCCGAGTGCGCCTGACGACGGCGGACGGCGGCGCGCTCGAGGTGGACGCGGTGGTCGAGTGCGCGGGCACCGAGCCCGACGTGGAGCGCCTGGCGGGCGCCTCTCGACTCGAGACGCATCCGAAGCTCGGCGGCCTCGTGGTGAACGCTGAGCTGGCGGCGCGGTCGGGCCTCTGGGCGGCCGGCGACTCGGCCTGCTTCTACGACGAGGCTCTGGGCCGTCGGCGCCTCGACCGCCACGATCACGCGGTGGCTTCCGGCCGCCTCGCCGGCGAGAACATGGCGAGCGAGGGCCGGCCGCGCGCCTACGGACACCAGAGCATGTTCTGGAGCGACCTCGGCCCCGACCTCGGATACGAGGTGACGCTCGGTAGACGCGATGGCCCGTCTCGCGGTTAGGCCGACGGCTTATCGAGGTTAAATTTTCAGGCGATAGGTGAAATAGATTCGAAGCTGCCGACCGTCGCGGTGTTCTGCGAGGACGCCGTGCGCGAAGCGAAGGAGGCGGCGACTGCGGCGGACGGGGCGGCGGACGGGGCGGCGGCGGACGAGGCGGCGGCGCGAGCGGACGGCGGCGTGCGGTACGAGCGCGGCGTGGTGTTCTACCTCCGCGAGAGCCGCGTCGTGGGCGTCCTTCTGTGGAACCTCTTCAACAGAATGCACCTCGCGCGACAGGTTCTGGCGCGGGGCGAATTCGAAGACTTGTTTGAGGTGGCGAAGTTGTTTGCGTTGCACGAGGAAGACTAGAAATAATATTATTAATCTGTATATAATAGTTATATATAATACTTGCTCCTTATTAAAATGGCTTCCTTCGACCTTAACTACAGTTTTTTATTTTCCAATTCCCGACGATTCCCTCACGGGTGGCTTCTCTCCTACGATATGACAAAGAAGATTACACATTCGAAAGAAAGACCGCTAACACATAAGTCATTTCATGTTACTACAAATACTAATAGAAACAACATTTAAAAAAGTAGAAGATGAAGAGACTAATACCTCACCACAATGTTTATGAGTAAGGAGGGGTATTCCAAAGAATGCAGGAGTTAGGAAATAGCGGAAATTAGTCAGGCGGAGTCAGTCCGAAGGAAGTTTAAAAAATTACATATTTTGACTTTGGCAAGTCAATATATTATTTATGAGAATATTTTGTATGTGCGGAAAAATATAGATATATGGTCCAAGATCCCAGGGCCGCCAGACGTCACGTATTTTCTGACGGATGAAATGTGGACGATTGGGTAGTGTTAGTATGTACTATGATCGTATGCCTACCTGCTAGCTTGGTCAAACGGCCAATTTCCAGGTATCAGGTAATCAAGGTACACAAAAACATTACTTACTTCACGTAAATTCTCATGGCTGATTTTTATATATGTTTTCGAGTGTATAGTTAAAAATAAATTGTCAATACTACCAGACACTTTCCGTCGGCCATATTGCTTGACAGACGCTTTAAGGGTCTCAAAATAATTAGTCAACTTCACGTAAATTCTGACGCTCCATTTTTATATATGTTCATCCGACAACTATTTTAAAAGCTTTGACAAGAAGACAGACCGATCCAAGGGGCCAATCATCCCCTAAACTAAATTTTAATATCTCTATGAGTGAGAGAGCATTATCTACGCGCATGAGACTGAGTGAGACCGACTGCGCTGTTAAAGCCATGAAAATTACTTGAAAAATTATTATTATTCAAAAAGGGCAAGCAAAAGCCGTTTAATATTTTGAAGAAAAATGAAGAGTACCAACAAAGCATTTCACCGTTTTGGTACGTTGGATTTTGTTGGTGATGTAGATGAAGAAGAACGTGTATTCAACATAATACAAAAATTTATCTGTGATGTTTACAACGTTCCTGGAATAATTGATGTAGATGCTGCCAGACTACAGTTGTTTATCATTTACATACATGGTATCTGATATAAATGAAGAATTCAATCGAAAGAATTTAAGAAACTTCGATGCCAGTAACTTACCACCTTGTAAAAGTGAGCTTTGGCAACAGTTTCGACGGGCTAGCTTTGGAACAATGCAAGTATGAAGATGATAAATATTTTCAACCCCGAAAACAATGGCTGGACACTACAAGATGGTAAATATGATTTTCATCGGTTCGATGGAGATCAATTACCGGGTTTTGTCAGTGAGTCGCTGGAAGAACAATCAGGTAAATTATTTTCGTTTCTCATATTATTTGTATCTTTTTAGTTTTTTCAGACCTTCATTGTTTAACTTGTTTTTACAGAGGAAGAAAATAAGGATAATGCTGATGATGACGATCACGATTTAGATATTCAATTTCAAGATTGATATTTGATGATGATGATAATGAAGATTAAAAGCCACTGTTAAGAAATATTTAAGAATTAATATTTTTCCACTTTATTTCCAAATTTCCAATAAATAATTAATTAAAAAAATTGCTGCTATTTAAATATAAGTGGTATTTTTAAAAAATATTTTTTAGTTCTAATTAATAAATTGAAAAAAAAAAAAAAAATGTCGGCTAACTTTAGTATTATTTATTATGTGTAAATTTTTTTCTTATTTTTGTTGCTATAATTTACTTGTCAACAAAAGTTCTAAAAATTATAAAATATCTGTTCAAGTAATTTTCATGGCTTTAACAGCGCAGTCGGTCTCACTCAGTCTCATGCGCGTAGATAATGCTCTCTCACTCATAGAGATATTAAAATTTAGTTTAGGGGATGATTGGCCCCTTGGATCGGTCTGTCTTCTTGTCAAAGCTTTTAAAATAGTTGTCGGATGAACATATATAAAAATGGAGCGTCAGAATTTACGTGAAGTTGACTAATTATTTTGAGACCCTTAAAGCGTCTGTTAAGCAATATGGCCGACGGAAAGTGTCTGGGAGTATTGACAATTTATTTTTAACTATACACTCGAAAACATATATAAAAATCAGCCATGAGAATTTACGTGAAGTAAGTAATGTTTTTGTGTACCTTGATTACCTGATACCTGGAAATTGGCCGTTTGACCGTAGGATTTGGCGGCCGCGTAATCCTCCTTTCCTGGCTTCCTCAGTACCACTACCATTTTGTACCATATTCTTGCAATAAATAAATTATTATTATTAAAATAAAATAAAATATGTTTATTGTGGAACATAGGATACATGTATCACTTATTCCACGTCATTAAATTTCAATTTGTAGGCATCCCTACTCATCGGCAAAGAAGACAGAGGGTGTAGGCCGAGAGAAAAAGCCGGCGTAAAAAACTCTCGGTACTCTTTTAAAATAGCAAATCATCAAACAACACTTATTTTAAAACAAATATCGCAAAATAATTAGAGGTAGCCTGTCTAGCACTAGTCCCAGGCCCTTTTATCAACTAGATAATCGTTGACTTTATAGTAAGCCTTTTTACACAGCTTTTCTTTAATACATTTCTTAAATTTATTGAAAGGCAGAGATAAAAGAGCCTCTGGGATTTTATTAAAGAAGAGTATCCCTTTCCCCAAAAAAGAATTACTAACTTTAGATAGTCTAGTACGGGGAAATTGCAGCCTGCGTTTGTTCCGTGTATTATCATTGTGCGTATGTTCTATTCTAGTAAACTTATCACTATTTTGCGAGGGAAAGGTAAGTATATTAATTTCCTTGAATTTATCTCTAAGAGATTCCCTACATTTTAAATTATAGATTGCACGAATAGCCCTCTTCTGCAGGATGAAAATAGTTTCGACATCAGTAGCATGACCCCATAATAATAAGCCATAAGTCATTAAGCTATGAAAGTAACTAAAATAAACAAGTCGAGCTGTATCGACATCAGTTAGTGAGCGAATTTTTTTAACCGCGTAGGCTGCAGAACTAAGTCTCTTCGCCAATCCGTTAATATGAGGGGACCACTGAAGTTTTGAATCCATGGTGATTCCGAGAAATACAGTTGTATCATCCAGATTCAATTCCTCACCGTTTATAATAGGTCTAGTATCCATAACCCTTGCATTTTTTGCACAAAATTTAATGCATTTTGTCTTTTTTGCATTAAGTAGAAGGTTATTCATACTAAACCAATGGACAATCGAAGACAGAGCATTGTTCACATCGTCAAAATTTGTTATTTGTCGTTTGATTTTAAAAATCAAGGACGTGTCATCAGCAAACAAAACTATCTGATGTTTTCTCTCTATCATGAAAGGTAGATCATTTATATAAACAAGAAAGAGGAAAGGGCCAAGAATTGAGCCCTGTGGTACCCCCATATCTACTGCCGACCCAGAGGACCTCTTACCATTCACTTCAACCTTCTGAGTTCTTCCGTGTAAATAGGAAGTCAGAAGATTCAGTGCGGTATTCTTGATGCCATAGTGACGGAGTTTCCCGATTAAGGTCTCGTGTTGGACACAATCAAATGCTTTGGATAAGTCGCAGAAAACACCTAAAGCGTCATGCGACTCCTCCCAAGCCTCAACTATCTTAATATATATATTTCTTGTGTGCGTGTGTATGTGACTGAACTTCTCTCAAACGACTGGACCGATTTTGATGAAATTTTTTGTGTGTGTTCAAGGGGATCTGGGAATGGTTTAGATTCACAAATCAGCCCGGCAGATGGCACTGCAGTCGGTACTTTCATACTTTGCTTAATATCCTAATCGCTTTAAATATCATGCAGGACAACGTCTGTGGGCTCCACTAGTATATCTATATAATTCAACACCGGCATCGGCTGTCGAGCGACCCTTGGTAAAACCGAACTGATTATTATTACTATCGTGCATTCCTTCTATAGATCAGGGAAGCATCCCACTTCGAGGCATTTATTGAACTATTGATACTGCGCAGCAGATATCCGCAGTGGGTCCGTCGGCTCCCGGTGCCTTCCTCGGGTTGAAGCTTCTAGCAGTGCTGATGAGCTCCGCCATTGTGATTGGCACTTCATCAGCGCTACTTCCCTGCAAGCTGCTGGTCATTTCCTCTACCGTTTTCCTCATTTTTCGATGGATGTCATCATCCATCTCGCAATTATCAGGCGGGAAGAATTTACGTGCCAGCAGCTGCACCGATTCTTCGGAGCTCAAAGAAATGCCCTTCTCTATTAGCGTGGTGTCTTCCCTGATCCCTTCCGCCTTTCTTATTATTTTATATATCCTGTCCCATAATGTTTCTGTAAGTGATCGAGTTTTGTTTAGTGACTGGGCAACACCAGGTATTTTTAAAAGCAGAATAAGATTATTTGAATTATATAATGAAAGGAACCATGATCATAGTGAAAGGTTTAGGGAGTATGTTAAAAATTACTCTAAGACTTTTAAGAGAGCCTGCGCTGCCGCAAAATCTTTACACATTAAAAACAAAATACAATCTTCTGCAAACAAAATTAAAACTACTTGGAATATTATTAATTCTGAAATAGGAAGAACCACAGTTAAGAATAATGATTTTCATTTTAAAATTAATGATATAGATGTTAGGGCGGATTTGGAGGTGGCAACCGAGTTTGAATCTTTTTTCACTAATATTCCTGTATTAACAACTCAAACTTTGTTGTCGTCTTCCGGCTCCGCATACAACATACTTAAAGACTGTGTCGCAGAATGTGGGACAAGTTTTGAATTTACAGTTATTAGTGCTAAGGACATTCTAGATGCATTTAAAGATTTGGAAGTAAAAAAGTCCACCGATCTTTGGGGGTTGTCAGTTCAAATAATATCCTCAATAATTGAATGTATTTCCCCATTTCTGGCAATTGTGTTCAACTCT